CCGTATTGCAGATACATTATGTATACATGAGTCACCGGCCTATCCCAATATTGCAGATACATTATGTATACAAGAATCACTGGCCTATCCAATATTGCAGATACATTATGTATACAAGAGTCACCAGCCTATCCCAGTATTGCAGATACATTATGTATACAAGAATCACCGGCCTATCCCAGTATTGCAGATACATTATGTATACAAGAGTCACCGGCCTGTACGTGGTTGCATACTGGCCTATCCAGGTACTGCAGACATGTCATTTATTAAAGAGTCACCGGCCTGCACATGTTTCACACAGCCAGCCAGTCCTGGATATACATAGGCCGGCCGTTGTCCTGTAGACCTGGTTTTGCAGGCCAATGTACACATCCTATGACAGGGTTATACAGTATCATAAGACTGAAAGGTGTGTGTTTGTCCCATCTTCGGTATTAGATGGCACAGCCGCACAATTTCGTCAACGTGGATCACAGCAGCATTGCGGCGAAGTTGGCGGGTTGAGCGCGAGACCTGTCGCATTCGAGATGAAGGGTCTGGTGGTTTGAAAGGTGTGAACCACTCAACATAAGCGAGGGCTCTGGAATATGTGCTGAACTGGTAAGGTAGGGTGAATATAGCACGAACTTGGGCTACTCAGACACCTGCAACAAGACTATTAACAAATTTGACCGCTGAGAAACCCGAAAAAAAAATACCCTCAAGAGTATGCAAGTGTGAAGAGCAAGGCCTGTCTACTATAAATGCCATGTCAAACTGGGCTGGGATACCAGGCTTCCGGCCTGACGGCAACATTTCTGGTGTTGCTCTAATGCGCCTTCGCTGTGGCACATTGCTAACTTGTAAATCAGGTGGCGTCACAATCACCACTTGACGATAAACATTGAATCGGTCTTGAAGTCCAGGGACTATGGTGTTGTGCGGGAGATTCTTGAGTAAGAACGATCAGAGAGCAGGGAGGAACTCAGTAGCACCGTGTGCTGTTATGATGGTTTGAACTGATTGGTGAGGATGCGCAGGGGCTTTTGCAAGGACATGGGCTGCTTGAAGTGGTTCAGCGGCGGGCAGATTTGGTGTTTCCAACTCCGAGTCTGTGTCCGAATCTGCATTGAAGTCATATGGGTTTGAATGACATTTGCTGAGACCTGCAGCTGACTTGGAGTGAGGCTGTTGTGACAACCAATCCAGGTATGCGCTACGTAAAAACACGGCTTCTTGGCATTGGAGCCACAAAGCCATTTGTTTTTCATAGTCCCGTTTGTTGCTAGCACAGTATGAATCCTTTGCGAAATCAATATGTAAGTGCTTGGGAAGTTCTGTGTTAAAGCCGTCAGCTGCAGCCAAACAACTGTGATTGACTGGACATAATGAGTGAGCTGGTGTAATTTCGGTATGTTGAAATGCTCTCGAACAGCGAGCTCCTTGAGGATGTCTTTGTTAGCATGAAATACAGTCAGGGCGGTCTGTAAGGCTTTGAGGGACTGAGTCGTCTGAATTTGCAGCTGGGCATAATACAAGAAGTTGAGAATAGATTGTGCAACTACCAAAACACGACTGCCAGGCATGACATCAAAACATCATCTTAACGACTCGTTAAACACACACCTAGGTACTGCTCTGCTCAGTAAGCCAACAAAGACTCGCTGCATCTCTTTATGTTCATGTCCTGTCCACTACTTCACACTCGATATCCCTTTCTTGAAGTGTTGAAGCCCGGGATAATTCAGGGATTGCCTTGAAATGTGCGTCCATTTCGTCCTCCCCAATAATATCGATGCACCACTTCACAAGGTGATCTTTGAACACACATTTATGAAGTTGATGCAAAAGATCGGGTGTGAAAGCTAGAAAAATGTCCACGTGAGGCAGATCAGCCCAGAATGGTTTGTAAACGGCACGTAGACCATTCGCCTCGAATTCCGGAGGATGCTGACCAATCTTGTGCCTGTGCAAGATATCTTTTGTTGACTCTGGATCACGCATTGCCGAGTTGAGTGCATCCCCTTGCTCATTCACTGCTACAAGGCACTTCGGACATCGGTTTTCTTTGCAACAACTGACCAAACACTGTTCCGGGAAATCGGCGATGTATGCTGCAAGAATTGGGTAGACACGATGAACCCACGAGTCCACACACACCATTTCAACACCATCATTTCCAGCACCGATGAGAGGTTGGAGCAGTAGAGCCATGCAATGGTGGAAGAGCCTGTATCCGGCCAAGGAGCATGTGTCGGGTGTGAAACAGTCAAGTTTGCCTGCTGGTAAGTAACCAATAAGAACAGTTGCTCGCGCTGATGCTTGGTGCCTTTTTGCTTTGGTGATGTTTCCAATGGACATATACACTGGCCAAGCTGACTTATCCCCTCGGAACTGCGACAAGGATGTTTTGTCTGAAGATAGAATGATTGGTGCTATCATGGCACCTTCTGGCAAGGCTTTCTGTGTGCAAGGTCAGTCCGTTACTTTGTTGCTCCCTCTCAAATAGTCTTACCTGTTTCTCGCCCCACCAGTCTACTGTCCACATCTCGTCGATCACTCTATCTTGCCCCACACGGTCTGCATATGCTTTGGCAGGTGAGTAGGCCATATCTTCTTTGAAGGAAGGGTTGCCAATGAGCTCTTTCACGCATTCTACAGGATTGTGGCTCCACAATTCAACCTCTTCTTGCAACATCTCACCGTTCTCATCCTCACAGTTACCGTGCACAGTCACCTTCTTACAACTCCATCCTGGCCCACGTGGAAGTTTATCCACGCGCTGCAAGAATGAGCAGTTGTTCTGAAACGAAACTTTGGTGCAGTTTTGTGTCTGGTTAGGGTATCAATATTGTAAGTTCAAATTTTGATCAACACTTTCAAACTTTCTATGGGCAGTTTCAGGAATTCAGTCGGTCCGTGCCTGACCAAGGTTCTTGACAAGCCACTGGGCCAGATCCCACTCTTCCCTGGTGAGTGATGTCTATTTAGTAAATGCTTTGCCAGTGCATTCGAGCACTTACGCATCCTCAAAAGGCGACCATGGATCCTCACCCTCTTCCTCTTGGTATGCTCTATATCTTTCAAAACTTGTCTCCCCCTCATGCAGTGCCCAGCCAGCATCTGGCTGAGGTTTGAAATATCGCTCGTTATTGGGGAACAACATCCCATCCTCATCTTCGACTTCCTCGACTGTAACCCGACGAGTTTTGCCAAGCACTGGGTTATTGTCCGTATCTGGAGATGGGCATGGGTGAACATGGCCTGGAGCTGCATCTTGATGGGGGAAGTCAACATCTGGTGCATTGTCTAAGTTCTCTGCCTCTACTTCTTCGATCATTGATGCCCACTGCCTGCGACATTCAGGATGCCCTACAACATGTCTCTTGAGACCCTCATGTGTAGCTGTTACCTTTCCACAGAACACACAGCGGGGCATGGCTTGTCTGGTGCGATTTACCTTGACCCAAAACTCGTGTTAAGTCAAGTTGTACCGGCCCTAAGTGTCCTGACAGCCCTCATGACCAACTACTATCATGGACACAGTTCATACTTGTGCGCCACCATTCCTGACGCCACACAATATGGAGATTGACCTGAAAATCATTGAAAAAGGCAATCCACATGAGAGGTTTTGCCGTTCGCAGCATGAAAAAGGTGATCCACATGGTGCGCTGTTATTCCGAATGACACTTGACTAACTAAGCTAGGGTAGTAATCCCATGAGACGCGAGTAAGAGCTCCAAAAGTTGAACCTTGCGTGCCTCTTCACACCGCTTTTTCTCTGCGTTCCAATGCACAGTTATCATCTCCCACACAAACTTTTGGTGAGCAACAGGACCTTGTATGTGCTCTGAGAGCTGCACTTTGCATGCCTCATCACAAAGCCTAATCTCTGCATCCCAGTGCTCTAATACAAGTGTTTCGCAGGTAGGTCTGCAATGTTTTAATGGGTCCTGGAGTTTGACGAAATGGCGCCAATGGAAACTGAATCTCAAGAGCAGGCAGTACCTCCCTAGGAGCAGGAGGTACCTCCCTAGCCCGTCCTGGAGCAACGACCACGTGAAAGGGTTGACTTGGAGGAGGTACGGGCCTGCTGGTTGGTTGGTTAGTGTTTGTCATGGTTTATGGTCGAGTATCACCTTTTGCTGACTTCAAAGCCTTGCGTAGCAGCCTGCATGTTCGGCTTCACTTTGTTTGATCCATTCAATAACGAGATGTTCGGCTTCACGTCGTCTGATTCGTTCGATGACAAGAACGCTGAACTACAACATCGGTAAGTGTGAGGCGAGCATTGGAGAAGCCAGCCACTTACTATTCATTCATTTTGGCTGTAGTATCAATTTTGCTGTAGTATCAATTGTAGGGTTGAAAGGAAAGTCATCCCCATCCCTCTTATTTATGCCATTATATTGACACTGCTTGGTCAGTTGAAAACTTTAACTTCGCGATCAACAAAACTTGATCAACAAAACTCAAAAATTGTTGAGATGCCACTGTAGGGTTTTTAAGGGCATGCATACCCCCTCCTTCTGTTGTCGTTATTTCCACTGACTACCATCTATCATGGCCGCAAAAGGACCCTCCAAAAAGGGAACCAAAACAGCACTTTTGAAGGCCCAAGAGAACCTACACACAGAGATGGTGTCACCCGCGGGACGCACCGCAAGTGGTCGGCAACGTCGGCCAACCAAAAGAGAGACATATCGAAGTAAGTAATATCAAGCCCAACATTCACGCTCGCTTACTTGTTTCTGCTTAACAGTTTTTAAAGCTCGTCAAGGAGAAGAACACCAAAAAGCCTATGAAATGAAGATGAAGAAATGTGACTTAAAGGCACTACGCACTACATACCAGACACATCCCAAGGAATTTGATGGCAAGCCTGCTGGGCTTCTCAGCAATATTGACAGGGACGAAGACAGCATGGTCAGTGTCTTATTCGTCCAGGCGCTCCATGTTACTCACAACTACATAATAGTTTTCGGACCGCTGTGTACCCACAAAGCTATCTAATAAACAGGCACTCGCATTCAGTATGAGCAAGACCCCTCCAACTGTCTTGGCTCAAAAACCCATGAGTAAGATCTGTATGAAGCCACAGAAATGTACTATGTCTTGGCCTGTGTGTATCTTGGACTAACTCACTTTTTCAGCGTCCACAACTGTTGGGACTTCGGATAACAACAGCGACAACAACAGTGACGGCAGCAGTGGCAGCAATGATTCGATCAAGTTTCCCAATAGCATGGATGACACTGAGAACGAGTCTGATTGTGGCACAGACAACACTGGCAATGATCATGATGAAGTGGCCAAAGCTTCTTCACCACCAGTTGTCGGCACCAAGCACCGACTGGAGGACTTGGAGGTCCTGAATACTGACACGAAGTTCAAGAAAGGTCCAAATGGAACACGCCAATGGTTAAAGGCTAGCAATTTCGACGAGGTCACCAAGGATTTGCTCACCACTGCCACGTCTATCTACCACTGTCTAATTGTGACTCGCGCACCTTTTCCTGAGACACTGATTATTGAGACCAAGCTAGCAAAGGATGCCTGGCGTGAGGCATCTAACATGGCAGAGCTTACCATCCAACTTACCCCTTCGCTCGTCAAAATGGTAAGTTTAATGTCCACGTCCTTGCCCTACTTAATGTTATGTTGCCATATAGATGACGAGGCGCACATCACATGTGTGCGGGGAGCTCAAAACCAAGATGCAGGTACTGACAGCCTCATTCTTTGGCTTCCGTGCAAGCAGATCTATAGTCGCCATTAAGCAAAACCATGACCTGGCCGAGTCTCTCAAGGAAGGATCACATTTTGTTTTTAAGGTGTGTGTTCAATAATTTCACGATCGTTAGTCAATGTCTGACTGGCGGAGTAAAAGGACTGGGAGATGAAATGTGGCATATACATCAGCAAAAGACCCAGTTTTCTCACTTGTCAGAAAGAAGTTTGATGGCCTTATGGTGACTTATAGCGCTGGTGATGGAGCAATGTGATTGGTGGAACAGACTTTTCCGTCGTACACCGTATATATCTGGATGGGTAACATTATATTTTTTTTAAAAAATGGGTGTATCCGAGTCATATTATACATTAAAACTGAGATTGAAGACCTGCAGTCGGATGCGACAATCAATGAATGGATTAAAGATCTTGCTGCTACTGGCCACTGATACTAATATACTATGCAAACTCTGTACTGAATGTATGATAACTCTCCTTATCTGCAAAGCTGTTCAGAAAAAAACAGTCATAGCTCTCCAAACAGGTGACCAAAGAAATGTTCTCGTCCACCTTGTTACCATATTCTGGGATCAATTTGATGGCGTGTGTTACATTTATCAATGACACCACACCACCACGCCTATAGCGTCTATCATGTTGGTCTACCACATATGCTCACTCTACCATCCACATTGCAAGTTCAGGACAATCACTGGGATTGGCGACAAAGTTGAAGTATTGGACGTAGAGGAGCGGACTAGCAAGATATGTCGGTAAAACCAGGTCGAAGCACGTGGAATCTTTGGCTGAAAAATAAGTTGAACTTGTGCGACGTGACTTGCTGAATATCATATTGTTAGCGTTAGAGCATGAGACTGCAATCAGGATAAACTACTAATTTGGCCATCGTCTCCCATGACATCAATAAGGACAGTATCACAGTTTCCGAGGGGGAATTCAGTCACTCGGCGGGTACGCTTGGATCACTCTGCTTGGCATGATCACTCGCGCCTGGAAGGCAGAGTGAAGCTGTAATTGAAATTTGTTCCACGTGCAAAAGTGACCATGGCTATGCTTCCAGTGGGTATGCTCACCACTGGAGAGGGATGAACATCTGATGAACTCAGAGAGCGTGTGTTCAAAGTCAACGAGGGAATATTTGGTGTAAATATTGACGGGTGACAGAGATTTGAAATCCGGTGTCGCAGTCAGAGGAAAGGCAGTGAGAGCATCTCCTGAAAGAATGCCCTTAAGAAAATGATTACGAACTGGCCAAGGTCCATGAATAGAATGCGCTTCATCAGGGAGAACGTGAGAAACCCAGGAGAGCACCGGATTGATGGTGGTCACTTCCGCATCTTCGTTGCATATGTCATTGACGAGTGACACGCCATGAGAATAAACCAGCGTGTACAGGTTAAACAATTCCATCGACTCCTGGCGGTTGAGAATCCGTATGCACTGCTCCGTGAAATCACTAGCTCGTTGACTTGTTTGCACGAAGAGATCCTTGCAGTGAGTGATGAGCATGCGCTCCGTCATATCGGCTGAAAACTGCATCAGAGTGCCCAGTTTCTTGACCGTACCGCTGAAGCTTTGTAGTAGCTCGAGTTCAGGGATGAAAAAATCTTCTTTGACACCCTTCCTCCCCCTCCTTGCTTCAGCTTCGATGATAGCACCCTTGAATTCATGAAAATCTGAAAGTGCCTTCACCATCAACTGCAGGGATTCAGGAGAATGAACCAGATTTTGTGCAAGATAGATGAAATCTACGAAGGCACGGATTGCACGAATGAATCTGGGTGGAGCGGCACCTGCAATTGAAGCAACAATGGTGCATTGGATATCTCGATGCTCGCAGCCTGTCATCTGGTTGACATGGGTGATACCTTTGGTAAAGTGATGTGTTCCCACCCGCTTATGCTGATTGATGAAGCGAGCGTCGAGCTCGGGTTTACCTAGTGTCTCTTTGATCCATTTGAGCAGATGATCCGCAAAAAACTTGTGGCAAGTGTGCAAAACTTCGCCAGCGAGAAAGACAGATGGACATGTGAACAGCCAATCACGCCAAAATGGCATGTGGACTCCAGACAGATGGACAGCTTTGGCTGCCTTCTGGAATTTGTCGAGATCCCAAGGATCAATCTTGTTGGAGATCTCTACGAGGAGTTGTAGTGTGTGTTGTCCAGTACGAGGGGGGGGGTAGAGAACTCCATCACCAAACCTTTCTTGCATCGCCATAGTCAGAGGAGATGCACTTTTGCTGACTGCAGCGATCATGGTAGCCTCTGGCAGGTCAGATATATGAGCGATGAGTGGCGTAAAGACATAACAAATGTATCAGGAAGGATCGGGCATAAAACAACCTTGCTTCGCCGTAACCTTGAGGTTGGCACAGACGAGATCAATGCATTTGTGCCATAGCTGCGCCTGAAGAATGGTCTGATAGTCAGGATGTACATGAAACTTGGCAATGGGCATGTAAGCGATACAGCGCCAAGCTCGTAGTGTGGCCTTGCAGCAAACATCCGAATCAATGTTACCAATGGTGATGAAGAGCGGGTGCATCTCGAGCCCTCCAGTGGTTCGTGTCACAGGAGTCTTATCAGATCCCAAGATGATAGGTACTTGCGTAGCACCTAATGGGAGATAGTCCTAGTATATGGAATCAATCTTTGAGCAGTAGAGGCTAACAGAACGAACAGACCTGAATTTTCCATGCCATATCAGCGCTCATATAATCTCCGTACTCACGCTGATTTCCGATATTGACTATGTGTGGTTGATACGACATGTGATTAGCAAATACTGGATCACTGAAGAGTTGTTTGACAACTTCTAAAGCATCGCGCCAAATGAATTGTATAGGATACGTTGTCTTATAACCTTTAAACTTGATGTCTGAAACTTTCCACTGCACAAAAGAGGGTAGTCCATCGATCCAGTCTAGAAGTTCATCTTTTGAGGTGAAAGATAGTCTGGGGCGAGTGTTGAACTGTGAATGCAGAGTCAGACCTGTTGAATGGAGCTTAGAGTCTCCTACCCATTTCAACTTCAAAAACTTGTCGATCTGAGTTTGATTCAAATTTTCGACCAGGAACTTTGCTAACTCCCACTCCCCTTTGTCACAGAAGGGATAATAAGTGTTTAGTTTCTGCTGATACGCAAACTGATCTTCTTCCAACCTGTCAAACAGGTTTTTGCCGAGACCAAAGACATATCCAGAGTGAGGATGAAAATGCCAAGTGGTAGAGGATGTCGATGAATGGGGACCTCGCAACCCAGGGGGAACAGGGAATTGTTCTGGTCTTGGGCATTCTTTGTGTGACCAACAAGTATTAGACTGAGAATTAAGATGCAGAACAACTGCTTCAATGGAAGGAAACTCCCCACTACAGTTTGGACACAGCCTGGCAAAGGTCACTGATCAGTATAATGAAGTGAGAGTGATATATGCACATTTGCTGCTGGGGCTGAGGGCTCAGCTTGCTCAGTGAATCAAAGGCGAAGTCTTTCAGACTCCGCTGCCTTATGGAAACGGTAATAGACCAATAGTTATTCACAGGCTGACAGTGATTTCTGATTTCTCCCCAAAGTCATAATGCTCCCAGACAAGACATTGTCTCCCCAACACAACAGTTGCCGCCCAAGTTCATCTCCTCCTCGGCCCAGCAGTTGTCCCCCTCCATCAAGCAGTCCCCCATCTTCTCCTCTATCAGGTGAACGTGCCACAACTCCCGGATCACCTCTCTTTGATTCCAGCTACAAGTCAGGAAGCTCTCCAAATACCATGCATTCCGATCTATGCAGTGCTTCACTACGAAGCACCTTCTCAGCAGACAAGACACCTAAGGCTACTAAGGTGACAGACAGCCTAATTTTTGATTCATCCGCACCTCTGAACCCCTGGATGCACTGCCCGATGTCAGTTCATACATGACAGAATGAGCAAGAAGTATCTTCCAGTACCCCTCCAATCCAGCTCCCCTCGAGGTTCACTACAGCGGCTCGTAACATGGGGCAGGAATGCAATCCATATGTGTCGCTTGATTCACTTCTCAAGGTAAAATATTTCTTCTACTAGACCCGATGCCAAATAATTATTTATACTGTTAAACAGCACACTGATCACTTGGAAAGTGGCCTCAAGCAAATGCATCCTGCTACCTTGTACAAAGGATATAAAGCAAAGCTTGCTGCTCGCGAGACTGCGCTGCCAGCGCATTCTAGTTACCGCATGGGAAATCGAGGAAGCTGAACGCTTCCTTGCATTTCTTGATGCCCTGTACACCGAAAATGAAGAACAGTTCAGCTTTGCGGAAGACGAGATGTGCACCTTTAGACAGATGTTTTCTGAGCGTGACCGCAGCGAGATTGACGATGACAGAGATTATCTTCAAGCTGTGTACGAGGATGAATGCGAAATCCTTCACGTTACCTCAGCACAGGCTGAACAGGTCTCAAAGGTCTTAGGCTCATGTGTCAGGCAGGATTTCCTGCAACTGGGAGGATCAGGATCCCCGTCGCGTGGAGTACATGAAGATGAAGGGGACCCCTTTTTCCTAGATGAGACCACAGATGGCCCCTGAAGAAGCTTATGGGGCTACCACGAGATGTGACCCCATTGCCCAGACCTCAGATCATTCCATGCATGTCGAACCTCATGCAATTGCTGCAATGTGAGCCTACCCTTCCGATTGTGGTAAGTGAAACACATGTCGAGTCATTACACCACGCTGATCAATCGATAAGAATGTGTTGTAAATATGCAGGTGTCGTTTCATTTCATTTTGTATTGGTTGGTCATTATGCACTGTCTCTTTTACACAAGTTTCCCCCCCTTCTCCAGATCCTTAGATCTCCGCCATGTATAGGTTGTTTACTGTTGCATACCATGTTCTGTAGTAGAATTCAAATTCCATCTCTGACACTCTGGCTACTCCTTCAACCTGGATGAGTGTTCGATGCCCCCCACAGCGCAAAGGTAAGACCACGATTGCCAAACCTACTCATGGGTCTGGCCTTAATCCATTGCATGCACCCGCCGACACGCAGATGAATATCATCAGATGAACAACCCCAACAACCTTCGACCGGGTTTGACCCTCACGCTCAATGTCAGTCTCAAGTCAGCTGGTATGTGTAGCCCTCCACTTCATCATCTGCTTCTGATCTCAACATGATGGCAGGTGGGGCACAGGCTATACCAACCCAGCATCAACCGCAGGATACCATAACTCGTCCAACAGTGGATACGGCGCCAGCAGCTCTACCCATCCTGGTTTCAGCGCCAGCAGCTCTACCCATCCTGGTTATGGCGCCAGCAACTCTACCTATCCTGGTTACGGTGCGACTGCAAGCAGTTCCGCCGATTATATGAGTTATAATCCACTATCCGACGCTAGCTATGGTGACAGCGGCTCCACCAATCCTACTCCAACCCCAAGCTATCACAACTCGTTGTCCGATGCTGGCTACTGATGCCAGCAGTCACCATCACCTTTCGCACAATGCTGCCCACCATCTTTCGTCTAGCAGCCTTTACCAGCCATCGTCACACGGAACTGACCCAGATGCGTGGCAAGGTACGTCACCTCGATATCTTATTGCAAACGGCTTCTAACTGACTATGACACCAGGTGTCGCGTCACCCAGCCCACTCCCAGACGAAATGCCCAGCCACATACCACAGTGGCTGGGGGACAACGACGAGGGTGCGCATGCTCTCGCCCCGGCCCCTGATCCCCTAGAATCAATGCGGATGGGGGAGATACCCCCCACACACATCATTCACGTAAGTACCTGTGATTTATTCCGGCCCAAAACTGACCTTGCATAGACCGAAGGTCCCAGTAGGACGGCCTCAAGACAACGACACACAAAATGCATGCCCCCCATGCCACATGTCGTTCCATGGATGATGCAGGCTCTCCCAGCCACAGTGCCCTCGGAGCCTGTGACAACGGCAGCAGATGCTGCCAAAACAGTCAGAAAACCCTCATCGCCTCAAGATTACAAAAACCATCCGTGCGCAAGTGTTCAAGCGCTCAAAAGAGCTGGCTGTAGGGATTTTTTTCGAACAAAGTGTTGGCATCATCTGCCACAGATAAAAAAAAGTTTGTCAGCAGAATTGATCCACAATGCGACGCCCAGCATCCCAGGACTTCGCGGTGAGTCAAAATTGATAATTCTACAAGTTTTATTGATCAATCGATAGGGATCACACATTGGGAAAGCGATGAAAACGATGTTCCCACGATATGGCAAATAGTCACGGCGCTGCACGCAGAATTCATGCTACTCGTTCGCCAAGATGTTGTTACTGGGATACTCGCTCTTCCCTCCTGTAGGTAGCAAGATCCTACCAGCGCCATTTCGTGTCGATCAAGTTAAACGCATCATTCAAGACAATCCATTGACTTTCATGCATCACTATTCGTTCGCTGTGGTATGTTTTTTTTTTCATTTTCTGAGATCACAATCTGAGTTTCTGATAGGACGGGACACTGGATATTCATGCGAAATTCATGAACGCATTCATATTTCACCTTCTTGTTAAACTGATCTGGCTCCCGCGCTTCAAACCTTATACCTTACTGCTCAACTCACCGGCGCAGGCACGCAAACAGTTACGGTACACGATCGCTGCAGTCGGTGCATTTACAGAGTGCGCACTTTTGGAGCAGGGCCAAATGGAGCTTCCGGAACGCAGATTTTCTCCGGAATCGAAGGATAACACATTCAAGAACATTTGTGCGGGTATTGCTAAACTTAGTGCCGAGGATACAGCCGTCCTGGATAGGTGGATGGACCACGCAGTGGTTTGCAGACGCTCACAACAGCTCCCCAGTGATATCTTATCTGATTTCGACCTTGGTGATGTAGAATAAATCATGATTTGTACTAGATTTGTCTTAGATTTTTACTACTTTACGGGTTCTACTTTACAATGTGAAATTCAGTATATTTCACTGCTACACAGTTACTTAAATGTTCGGCAAAGTATATTTCTCTCGAATAAAGCCAAAACGAGTGTTTACGAACAGTTACGAACGCATGCCCTGAGCTATACTAAAGTGAGTTGTTCAGAACAACAACTCAACTTGTTTTGACCGGTTCAACTTTTTTAGATGTACAAGACCAAATTAATCCAGTCGGCGGTCAATGATATGTGGTTTGCAAACCAAACCGACAAGGGTATAGTATATGCTAAATACTTTGATCCTTTACCCGTTCAAACCATTGCACTTATACTCACAGCAGTGAGTGTATTCAGTTAATCTGATGTTGGTACTGCAACTGAGGTCTGACAGATTGAATGCTGCATCGACAAGTGGATGACTGGAGTAAAGGAGGACATCAAATTTTCATCAGTTGCTTACTCCCCGGGCTACCTTCTCCATCTCAACTCCCTGCGGCGGTTCGAGGAGCAGACTGCTGCTTACAAACTGCTCAGTAAAATCGGTGTCGATCTTCTCGACGTCACTCGGTATGTTTTTGATTACTTATGTTGTTCGTCATCTCAACTGACATTGATAAAAAGGATGCACGCTGGTGTGGATCCACTGATGGCAGCAGTGACCATTGATGGATTCACAGATGATGTGTTTGATGATGCAATTCGTGAGTATGAAGTCGAGACTCGAGAAGCACAAGAAGGGGGTCATGGAGGCATGGATGATGATTGAGGCGGCTGTATCTCAAGGATTGTATGCATGCTCACACACTATAGCACCTTAATTGATTCGATTTTGTTGATTTCCGGTTAGTGGCGTGATCTATATTGCGGGAGCTACAGTAGCAGTGTGTAGCTACCTGTAGCTCGAATGAGCAAATACTAGCACGATTCCTATTGCACCCTGTAGTAACTTGTAGCACCTGTAGCAGCCTGTAGCACCTGTAGTCAGTTGCTACAACAAGCTACAGGAGTTGCCGTAGCGCTATATAGTTGGCTGCGTGGCTATATAGCTGCATATAGTAGGTACTTGACACATTGGTCTACAGGTACTACACTGACTATATAGCACCCTGTAGTCAACTGTGTTTTTGCTGATGGATGCATCATGCGGCATGCCATTGATTGATATATCAGGTTGCGGTCAAGGCCTTCAGGTTTCCAGAGCGTTATGATCTAGAGAAAATCAACAGGCTAAGCGATACATACTAGTACTACGAGAACCGCATCATATACCTATGCTGCTTGGATCGTCTAGAAAATCAGCCGAGAAATTGGCATATTGAAGATTCTACGCCATAACAACATTGTACCGTTGTTGGGTATAGCGACAGGATTTGGACGGATGCCAGAGTTGCGGTGCTTAGTATCTCTGTGGGTGCCTAACGGCACGTTGAATGCCTACCTAGCATCTAACCATCTAACAATCCTGGACCATTCACGTATGGTGAGCAGAATTCTCACCACATCCTTTCACGTTTCAAGCTTGAAGACTCACTCGAAGTTGGAAGCTGGAAGATGTCAGCGCTGGACTTCGTTACCGTCAGTTTTCATCTATCTTCTCAAGATGTTTGAGTTGAAACCTACTCTTGGTGCAGTGCATTCGGTGTCTGTTGTGCACAGGGACATAACAGGGGTGACCCCGGAGCTACTGTGGCATTTTTGAAAACTAATGAACCTGCAGGCGAATATCTTGATTGATGAGGGCGGCCATGCGAGGTTAATTGATTTTGGTCTTTCCACAATCGTTCGACCCCTTCTCGACCAGTCGCACTTGGCTGCGACATCTATACGTTCAGGTGCAATCCTCTATGCAGCACCAGAACTTGTTCTACCAGATGATGACCATGACCTGGGGCCTTTGGAAAAAACTGATATATACTCTTTTGGTTGTGTAATGCTTCAAGTGAGTTGGCGGTTTGGTCACAAAATGGTTGCCTGAGGACTCATTGATAATTAACCAGGTTCTCTCGGGTCGGCTCCCTTGGTCTGAGATTAAGTCTGAAAGGCCGGACTCGCGTATTGTTGTTATGATATCTGAAGGCTGGGGACCGCAACGTCCAGATGGTCCACCTGCAATAATAGACATGGATTGGGACTTCATCCAAAGGTGTCTGCAATTCGGACCCGAACTTCGACCTTCAGCAGATGAAGTACTTGACTTTGTCATGCATAGGTTTTCCTCATCAGGTAAGCCTCCGCAGTTCTTGGTGCTTTGCTGATCATCCACTTATATGATTTTCAAGGTTCTACTAGACCACCTGATGATCCTCCGGATGATTCTCCAGATGATCCACAGGATGGCTTCCCCGGAGATTCCTCCTACGGTGTTTCTGGTGGCTCGGACGCAACAGAACGACTTCCTGACATTCCGCCACCCACCATGATGATGAACTGAAGGCTTTAACCACGGTCATGGATGGGTTATTCACCTCAGGTAATCCTGCACATCTCGTGTTACCTTCCTGATCATCAACTTACAATCGCTCAGGAAATGAGTCCTCCACTACACCGGAGCATGTAAGTTATCAAAATTCTGACCATGAAATGCTGCGACTAATTGGCGCTTGCAGGGAGTCCATCCAACTCTCGAAGACATGTTTCAGTGCATGTGGGGTTTGCCCCATGGGTTACATTGCAACGACTTGATTCGTGGCCACAACCTCTTTTCTCACCTACGTGAAGTTCACGAAATTCGTGGCGTGGACAAATCGCGCGTCCAGTGCAAATGGAAGTATTGCGATAGGGTGCTCAACAAAGAATCTTTCTCTCGGCACGTGGAGGAGGTTCATATGAAGATTGCATACTTCTGCGAGTGCGGGAAGACGTTCTCGCGCAGAAGCAAACTCAAAGAACACAAAACAAAAATGTGCTCTCGGCTGTAGTCTTTTGGCATGTGTAGATGCCGACGTGTGCCCTGTCAGTTCGAAGGTTTTTAGTATTTATTTACCATCAATTTTAGTCAGTGCTGCTATGGGTTTCCCATCGCAACTTGAAATTCGCATGGGCACTGAGTACTGAGTACTGAGGGCAAACTGAGGGTGCGACAAGTATACAGCGGCAATTTAGGACTACTACATAACGGCTGCGGTTTAAATTAATATTGATAGCTCAACGGCACCGGTATGACGACCGACCTCGGAGGTCAAGCTACTTAACATTGCATACAGATAGTCGGACGTTGCATTTGAGAAGTGCGTTACGTTGTATCGAGCGAATTCGGGAAGCGAAGGGGAGGCTTCAAGTCCGAATATTGAGGACAAAGTAACCCCGGTGTTAGTATAAAGACGCCCATTGACTGGCAGTGTGGCTTCGCAAATTACTTTGTGCCTTGGTCTGCGACCATCAACCCACATTCTCAGTTGACTGACCATTCGTTACTTACGAGGCTGATTGAGAAAGCATGGAGAACGACGATCTAGGGTATGATACGATGCTATCCTGTGTACGTGTAAATATACTTAGATGAATTATCAAGGACGGATAGGAAGCATAGTAATCACCTAGCACAAGTAGCATACCTCGCATCTTCTCCGGACGTCTCACATCTACCACGCTAATCATACTGCCGCATGGTCGCCTCCAGCGCATCCGCATCCACATCAAAAGACACATCAAACGACGAGTCCGCACCTGCCGTACCTCCTTTATCCTCATCACCATCATCATTGCTGTCGTCTTTGTCCAGCTCGGGGGTCGAAGTCGGCGGACTGTCAGGAGGCTCCACGATCCGCTTTGGTACGGGTACGGGTTTCGGGTTGTGCTTAGCGAGCAGTGGAGGCTTGAAGGGTGGAAGGGTCGTTTGCTTTTGTGCCCTTGCTTGTGAAGACGCATAATGTGTTTGCGTAGTGGTATAGCGGGATTGAGACGAAGCAAACCCGGTATTGGGGAGGTTGTGTACCCGACGCATGCCGAGCGGTGGGGGATGTCGCTGACTTGTTGAGGGTGCCACAGGAGGACGCACATGTGTTGACTGGGGTATCTTCTCTAAAGATGACGCGAATGCGGAGGAGGACGCAGTTGTCAGAGCTTTGGAGGGGACGCAAACCCAGAATTTGAGGAAGAAGCCATAGGACGATTGGTGGAAGAAACCGGGCCGGTACTAGGCGTCTTCCCAACCATGCGTTTTGGGGGTGGTATGACTTCGTCCACGTGCATTGAAAAAGATTCGTTCGGAGTGCAGTCACCTATGGAATGGGTGAAAATGCTGCCCTCAAGATCGGTATCTCGGTCTGAATCTGACGTCATCTCGATGTCCGCGTGGGTGCCACTATCTCTAGAAAGCTTAACGGTAGGCTTGATAGTTGCAGAACTCAACTGTCTACTGATTGCAGCTCTTTGTGGAGGTGCAGAAGAAGCAGACGTGATAGTCAACGTACTACCAGCCTTCGTTAGAGGTCTTGCATTGACTGCGATATCTTCTGTGGATGTGGAACCCCAAGGACGCAGTTGTAAGAGCGTCGGAGGAAGGGTTCAACCTGGATGTTGAGGAAGAAGCAGTGAGCCAGTGTAAGCTCAGGTGGTTCGTTGGCGAGTGCTGCATTGCCGTAGCTTAAATTCGCACGGTCGTAAGTACTAACATTCCCAGACCGCTAGTATACATCGGACGCCCATCCAGTGTGGGTTCGCAAACTACTTTCAGCCTTGGCCTGCGACTAGTATCAACGAACATTCTCAGTTGACCATTCGTCACTTACGAGGCTGGTTTAAAAAGCATGGAGAACGATAATCTGGGGTATGATCGCATTGTGCTTGGTGTCGCAGCAGTATCTGATGTACTGAACTTCTTACATGACCGTGCAGGGTAGAGGACCTGCCGGACGATTTAACGCCGTTCATTATTCGGACAACTCTGGACCACGTTGAAGGAGGTGCATCTGGTGATGTCTGGAAATGCAATTACAATGCCGATGGTATTTCAGCCCCCGTTAGTTCGTGTTGGATACCTTTACCATGGGCAGTTTGATGGGCTGACGCCGATTGACCGAAAAGGTTCAAGTTGCGGTCAAGGCCTTCAGGTTTTCACAGCGGGATGGTTTGGAGACGATCAACAGGGTGAGTAATACACGCAGATTAGCCCATGTCCCTTTGGATCGATGATCGTACAGAAAATCAGCCGAGAAATTGGCATTTTGAAGATTCTACGCCACAACAACATTGTACCGTTGTGGGGTATAGCGACAGGATTTGGACGGATGCCAGAGTTACGCTGCTTGGTGTCTCCGTGGATGCCAAACGGCACATTGAATGACTACCTAGAGTCTAACCACGACGATCTAACGGTTCTGGACCGTTTTCGTATGGTAAGCAAAATTCATATTCGAATCATTTTGCCTTTCAAGACTCGATCGAAATTGGAAGCTGGAGGATGTCAGCGCTGGACTCCGTTACTGTTAGTTTCCATCTCTCGTCTCAGGATGTTTGAATAGTAACCTGCCTTTGGTGCAGTGCACTCGATGTCTGTCGCGCATGGCGATATAACAGGGGTGAACTCAGCGCTGCCGAGGCATTCTTGAAAACTAATGAACCTGCAGGCGAATATACTGATTGACGAAGGAGGCCATGCGAAGCTAATCGATTTTGGTCTTTCCACCATTGTTCGACCCCTTCTTGGTCAGTCACACTTGGCTGCGTCATCTATACGCCCAGGTGCAATCCGCTATGCGGCACCAGAACTCGTTCTATCAGATGATGTCCGTGAGCTGCCTTTGGAAAAAATTGATATCTACTCATTTGGTTGTGTAATGCTTCAGGTGAGTCGGTGGTTTGCTCACAAAATGTTCGTCTGCCAGTGAGGACTGATTGAACAGGTTCTCTCGGGTCGGCTCCCTTGGTCTGAGATCAAGGAAAGACCAGAATCGCGCATTCCTGTTATGATATCCAAAGGGAGTGGACCGCAACGTCCAGATGGTCATCCTGCAATAATAGACTTGGATTGGAACTTCATCCAAAAATGTCTGCAACCCGAACCCGAACTGCGACCTTCAGCACACGAAGTATTTGACGTTGTCATGGATAGGTTTTCTTCCTCAGGTGATCCTTCATAGTTCGTGGTGCTTTACTGACCAACTGCTTACATGAACTTCAAGATTCGTCCAGACCACCTGACGGTCCTCCCGATGACGCACAGGATTTATTCCCCGGAGCTTCCCCTCGTGAAGGTTCTGGTGACTCGGACACGGCAGAACAAATGCACAACAGTCTATCACTCCACCCTGCTCATGAAGCGAAGCCTTCGGTTTTGATGCCTCGAACCCAGGTGTCTTGGTATGTCCAAACAGAATATTTGCATATCTATATTCTCATTATTTCCAAGCCCTAGTTCATCATATTCAAGCCATCCCCATCCCCGAGTGACTCTCAACAATGTGCTTCAAAGCCTGTATGGACCGAGTGTACCGGAGCATGTAAGATGGGAACTTTTCTTCCAAGGACCTCCTCACGCTCTTACCTGGATGGCTACAATATACAGTAAGTATTCGGCCGTCGATTCTTAATCTGCTGCGTAAAAATCACCCTAGTTCATGACATGAATTACGGCTATGGTCAAGCGGCCACGAAGGGCGCAGCCCAAGACAAAGCAGCAATGATGGCACTGGAACGCCTGCAAGGGGGACCTGCAGACTCTGCAGAGTCGACGAAGCGGACAGATGTACCGGAGACACGATCCAACGAAGATTGACAAGGTGCGGGCTCGCTCGACTGACAATCATACATATTCCGAGAGATATGCACACTAGGTGGTACTGGTTCACAACTCACGAAATCATTCATTGATACCAAAGGCCGCTGATGTATCATATGATGATGAAGCGAGTATTACTAGGTATATGCTATCATGTAAATATACTTAGCAGAGACGGATAGCAATCACCTAGCACAGCATACTTACACCTACCTCGGATCTTCTCCGGATGTCTTACACATTCAGGACATCAATCATACTGCCGCATGGTCGCCTCCAGATCTGTATCAAACGACGAGTTCGGACTCTGTCGTCCTTGTCCAGCTCGGTGTTAATGACGGTGGGCTCTCAGGAGGGTGGACGACCCGCTTTGATGTGGGAACAGTAATAGACGCCGGTCCAATGTAGCCACCTTAGTCTACGACCATCGACTGAATCCGATCCACATTCCTTGTCCCTTCGTCACTACGAGGCTGGTTCATAGTATAGAAGGAACGACTGTCTTCATTCGTCTAAGGTCTGCTTAGGGAAGACTAAGGTTTGTTTGGAAAGCGACAGGTGACACTAGTAAGTAGTCAGTGATGGGCGCTTGTCATTTGAACAACTAAATGCCAGCATAATTACCACTTACCATGATCTCCGCAGACTCGAGAAGAACTGTACTTACATATGAACGTCGTGAAATCATATGAAGAATCATGATCTATTTTTGGGAAGCGGTTGTTTGCCAAAACCTTCTAAACCAAACAACCAGAACTTTCTTCCATGGGCTTACTCCGTGTGCCACCTTCTGTGCCGCTGCCATCCAATAAAACCTCATCGATGTTTCTTTTCGACCACCCGTCCATGATCTCACACGACGCGGACATCCTTCCACCTCCAATGCCATTCATTAAATCGAACAAGACGGTGCTCCTATTCTCCAGGCTGTAAGGAAGCACATCAAAATCAGGGATGAAATAGCATTGCTATAGCGAATGTGAGATTACTTCGCAGCGGTTTGAAGCGCCGCCTCAGCATATACCAGATATCCGAGGACATATCCTCTCCAGAAGACATCGCACACACACGTCAACTCAAGGAATCAAAGCCCCTTCACGAAACATAGTCAAACCGGACTTTCGCTCGTCAAGTTTGTGATCTCCCATACCATCGTCGTGGATCCTGGCTCGATGCTACCACAGTAGTCCCTCGAAGAAACACTACCTCTGATAATCTTCTCGTTCCTCCATCGTTTACGCGCGATCCGCATGCCCTGCTGGAACTGAAAGTCGGCACTGGTTCAGTCGGGTGGCGAACGAGCATCATACGAGGGATGCGTGATGCTATCCTCGAGATCAAAGGCGAAGGCGCTTATGACGCGCTAAGGTAGGAGAGCGGTATACATCGTGTGCAGCGCGTCTCTACCAAATTAGATTGAGTAGTAGGTGACGCCCCCGCTTTCAGGCTTTGCTGAGCGAAGATGCTGATAATATGAACCGCAACGATGAACTCTTCGAAATGGAAGACGTGAAGGTCGAGGTAAAAATGTACACGCGGCGCAGGTGGACAGGTGGGCCTTTTGACTTTGAGCAGCCTAATCGACTTTAACCACTGTCCTCGGCACGTTAACAAAACAAAATTTTGCAGTCTGTCTCACTACACCCACCAGTATGACCATTTCTGTGCAAGACGAACGCAGTTAGTACTAGGTAATCCACACCCATACCGTCACTGATGTTGTTGTTCTGAAAAAGTTTCAAGTTCTTCGCGCTCGCCTGATGGATTTAATGCTCACTCAAGACATTGCCTCCCGTCGAGCTACTCGTGTGCATCACTGACCGCAGCAAGAATATTCAAACGTATAACCATACGCAGGATTGCGTGTCAGATCATCGGATCTATCTCTCCTTCACGAACATCACCAGCTTCCTGGAAGGTGATGGCGTGCAGGAGTTTCTGGATGCATCGCGCCGAAACTGGCAGGAAGCATGTGGCCAGATGCACCATTCACAGCGTTTGTGGGATGATTGAGGTTCCTGTAAACTCGTCAATCACAGTGGCGTGCTGTCACTTGCCATCACCGTCAGGAATGGCATCTTGGCGGTCAAACTGACATGATCCTGTTGTTCTACTAGTAACTGTTGGAGCATGGTCAGCGCTCCCATGACCGTGTGTTGCCACACCATTGAACTTACTTGCGATACTGTATCGCGTTATCAACACCAATATATGATATGTTCATTTGCATAAAATGAGCGAAATAATATTGAGTGGTGAGTAACATGAGTTATATAGAGTCTACCTTGCGTGTACTTAGGTTATAGGCCTTAAGTAAGCTTGACTGATGACCATCAACCGAGTCCAATCCATATTCTGTAACTGTTCATTACTTACTACGAGGCTGATTGGAAAACATGATGGCGAACGACGATCTGGGGTATGATCCTACTATTATGCTCGGCGTTGTGGTATTTACTGTACTGAATGACCGTGCTGCAGGGTAGAGGACTTGCCAGACGATTTGACGCCCATTATCACCCGAACAACTCGTGACCACGTTAGCGGAGGTGCATATGGCGATGTCTGGAAATGCAATTACAATGCAGATGGTATTTCACCCCTCGTTAGTCCATGTTGAATACATTTACCATGCAACTGGCTGACGCTGGTTGATCGATCAGGTGGCGGTCAAGGCCTTCAGGTTTTCAGACGGAGACGTTTTGGAGACAATCAGCAGGGTGAGTGATACCTACAAGAATTGTATCATATAACCATGCTGATGCTACCTGGATCATCCAGAAAATCAGCCGAGAAATTGGCATTTTGAAGATTCTACGTCATAACAACATTTGGGGTATAGCGACAGGATTTGGACGGATGCTAGAGTTGCCCTGCTTGGTGTCTCCGTGGATGCCAAACGGCACGTTGAATGTCTACCTACAGTCTAAACACAGATATTTAACAGTTCTGGATCATTCACGTATGGTGAGCAAAAATCTCATTTTCGCCTTTCGAGACTCAGTCGAATTGGAAGTTGGAGGATGTCAGTGCTGGCCTTCGTTACTGTTAGTTTCCATTTCCCATCTTAAAATGTTTGAATGGTGACCTACCTTTGGTATAGTGCACTCGATACCAGTCATGCACGGGGATATAACAGGGGTGAACTCAGTGCTGCTGAGGTACTTATTCTTGAAAACTAATGAACCTACAGGCAAATATCCTAATTGACAAGAGAGGTCATGCGCGGCTGATCGATTTTAGTCTTTCCACCATTGTTCAACCTCTTCTCGGCCAGTCGCACTTGGAAAGATCGTCCCCACGTCCAGGTGCGATCCGTTATGCAGCACCAGAATTGTTCTCATCAGATAATTCCCTCGAGCTACCTTTGGAGAAAGCTGACATCTACTCTTTTGGTTGTATAATGCTTCAAGTCAGTTGTTGGTTTGACCACAAGATGTTAGCCTAAGGACTGACTGAACAGGTTCTCTCGGGTCGACTGCCTTGGTCTGAGATCGGGTCAGGTCAGCTATTGATGTGCATCATTGTTACGATATCGCAAGGGCGTGGACCGCAACGTCCAGATGGTCTACCTGCAATAATCGACCCAGATTGGGACTTCATCCAAAAGTGTCTGCAATTCGTACCCGAACTTCGACCTTCAGCAGATGAAGTACTTGACTTTGTCATGCATAGGTTTTCCTCATCAGGTAAGCCTCCGGAGTTCTTGGTGCTTTGCTGATCATCCACTTATATGATTTTTCAAGGTTCTACTAGACCACCTGATGATCCTCCAGATGATACACAGGATGGCTTCCCCGGAGATTCCTCCTACGGTGTTTCTGGTAGCTCGGACGCAACAGAACGACCTCCTGACATTCTGCCACCCCACCATGATGATGAACCGAAGCCCTCGATCATGAGCCCTCGAATTCAGGTGTCTTAGTATGTCCAAGCAGAATACTTGCATATTCGCATTCTCATTTTTCTAAGCCCGAGTTCATCATATCTGAGCAGTTATCACCGTGCGGACCTCAATAATATGCTCCAACAAAGGTATCCCTCAACTGCAGCGAGCCGTGTAAGATGGGAGGTTTTATCCGTAGGACCTTAGCATTGTCCTACCTGGTCCGCTACGGTATACAGTAAGTATTCGATTGTGTAGTCCCCGACCCGCCGCATAAAAAATCACTACTAGTTGACGGCCAAAATCGCGGCTATGGCCAGGCGCATACGAAGGGCGCAGCCAAAGAATTAGCAGCGATGCAGGCAGTGAGATACTTGCAATGGGAGCGAACCCGACCGCTAGGGGGGATTGTGAACCGTGCAGAGGGGTCAGAGCTGATGGAGTAGCAAAATGTACCGGGGTTACGGTGGCCTTAGGAAGATCGACAACGCTCACTCAACCAATCATACATACGTATTTCGAGAGATATGCAGAGGTTGTACTGGTTCGCAACTCTTCGGTTGTAATTTTACCACGAAACCATTCATTGATACCAAAGGCCGAGCACATGATGAAGTGAGTATATGCTATCGTGTGTACGTGTAAATATACTTAGATGAATTATCAAGGACGGATAGGAAGCATAGCAATCACCTAGCACAAGTAGCATACACACACCTCGCATCTTCCGGACGTCTCACATCCACCGCATTAATCATACTGCCGCATGGTTGCCTCCAGCGCATCCGCATCCACATCAAAAGACACATCAAACGACGAGTCCGCACCTGCCGTACCTCCTTTATCCTCATCACCATCATCATTGCTGTCGTCTTTGTCCAGCTCGGGGGTCGAAGTCGGCGGACTGTCAGGAGGCTCCACGACCCGCTTTGGTACGGGTACGGGTTTCGGGTTGTGCTTAGCGAGCAGTGGAGGCTTGAAGGGTGGAAGGGTCGTTTGCTTTTGTGCCTTTGCTTGTGAAGACGCATAATGTGCTTGCGTAGTGGCATAGCGGGCTTGAGACGAAGCAAACCCGGTATTGGGGAGGTTGTGTACCCGACGCATGCCGAGCGGTGGGGGATGTCGCTGACTTGTTGAGGGTGTCACAGGAGGACGCACATGTGTTGACTGGGGTATCTTCTCTAAAGATGACGCGAATGCGGAGGAGGACGCAGTTGTCAGAGCTTTGGAGGAAGACGCAAACCCAGAATTTGAGGAAGAAGCCGTAGGTCGATTGGTGGAAGAAACCGGGCCGGTACTAGGCGTCTTCCCGATCATGCGTTTCGGGGGTGGTATGATTTCGTCCACGTGCATCGAAAAAGATTCGTTCGGAGCGAAGTTACCCAGGGAATCAGTGAATGTGCTGCCCTCGAGATCGGTATCTCGGTCTGAATCTGACGTCATCTCGATGTCCGCGTGGGTGCCACTATCTCTAGAAAGCTTAACGGTAGGCTTGATGGTTGCAGAACTCAACTGTCTACTGATTGCAGCTCTTTGCGGAGGTGCAGAAGAAGAAGCAGACGTGATAGTCGACGTACTAGCAGCCTTCGTTAGATGTCTCGCAGTGGATCTGGACGTGGAGTTTGAGCCAGACGAAGAAGCAGAGACAGTATTCGTCCGCGTCGTGATATCCCCCGATGTGCCAGCCTTCTTTTCTGCCTTCGCTTTTGCCATTTGCTTGAGCCTCGAATTCTCGTCCACCTTCGCAGAGACATCACGTAGCATATGAAGTAGTTGTGCAGTTTGCTCTGGATCGGGAGGGACGTCATTTTTCGTAGGTGCAGTCGCTGAATAAGCACGGGACGGGGGTACTTTCTTTGACATGGGTTTGCTCCTTGGAGGAAACCTCCTTGACGAAGTAGACGTAGAAGCGGGTGTGCCAGATGCAGATGGGAGTGAGCTCGAGGAGGGTGCAGCGAACGTGGGGAGGGACGCTGCACGGGTCGTAACGCATGGGGCTGTGACGGACGTGCTTGTGCTTGATGCCCATGTGGACGTGTACGTGGATGCACTCGAACGGGCTACACGCAGAACAAAAGCAAGTCAAAAACGCCTCGAACGCCTCAAGTGAGAGAGCACGCACGTCTCCGCCCTCGTTCCTCCTCTTCTTGGCACTCTGCTATGAGTTTCTGGAGGGCTGGATGGGCAGGTTGGGACGCAATCCAGCTAACGACACCGACGTCCATGTCGACGCTCATGTCAGCAGGTGCGGGCCGGGTACTGGCGCGGGCCCATTGAGATGAAGAGGGAAATTGGGAAGGGGATGGCATGTCGAAGTCCATGGTAGTGTGTTAGTTCAATTGGTGGATAAAGTTGTGATGAGAGAAAAGACAGTAAAGGCAAGCTTTATACGCTGGGGATGCGAAGCTGGTTAAAAAGGATGCAATAATCAATGAAAGAAAAGACAGACAATGAACATCCACTCCACAAGTTGGTGGTAACACGTTCGACAAGACACAAAGTCTACTTTCGGACGATAGTCCAGTGAGCCCCCAGATCTAGCAGACCTCTGGTGGAAGTTCAGAGTAAGTACTATAGTCGCTGTTGTTACCGTTCAGACTCACCTACCGCAGTCACTGCCCAAAGCCACCGCTGCAAGTAGAAAAGCACTCAGAAGCGCCTGTTCCAAATCAGGAAGGACCTCCTCGAACTTCATTAACTCCGTTTGTTGAACCGTTTATCTCATTTCATTTTCTCTTTGATTGTCTTCTCTGATAAACACATAGCAGATCCGCACCTATCCGTACACACATTGGACAGCTCTCGGAATTTATCTGCTTCATAAACGCAACTTGGACCAAAGATTATCTTCGTCGTGTGTAGCTTTGTCCGTTTAAAGCTAGTTCCCTGACGAGGAAAAATCTGACAACCACAACTTTCCGATTCTGAAGTGCCTGAACGCAGGACCTCCGATAATCCCTACGAATGCCTGCCCTGGCTGACCTAATCAGGAGTGGACAGTTTTGGGGCGTCCGGAGGTGGACACTAGGGCGGCATAATCTTGACTTCCCTCCGGATGGGGACACGGGGGAGGCCTAGACAAACATTTGAAAACTTCGCCTTTCTATATGAATAAATTGCTCCGGGTCACTCTGCGATGCCCAATCATTGCACCTAGTATGCTGATATAAGTTATTACTTCGTCATCATCAGCTTCCATCGCCTGTCACTCTAATCCGTCAGTGCGGCGAGCATTCATAACTTTGAGGTCCAATATCTTCAGTAGACCCCCCACGAACTAAAGCTGCTTGAGTCCACGTGATCCTGTATCGAGAGAAGCAATGCGCCACATAAGATTCGGAGACTTAGTGAAGTGAGCATAGAGTAGGTCGAGGGGGATACACGATCAACGTGGATGATAGCCTACAGTACTATTTCACACTCGGTCGATACGGTTCTGACATGTCAAAAAATGGTCAACATGTCGGAGGAGTGGACCGGGGGGAGGACTCCAAGACCCCCAAGTATAGAGGTGCCCAGGGAGGCAGTCCTAGCAACGAATATCGCCCCCTCCAGAGGTGGACCAGGGGTAGTCCCTGGTAGGGAATATCGGGGGTCCTCTGAACGCCCTCATCAATATTAATGCGGATAACATAGTGATACGGGCCGAATTCGGTCGCTGCGCGTTGTTCTTTATTAAAAAGCCGTTTGACGGACGGAAAAAAGTACATCCTTTTGGTGGTACAACCATAACATCCAACCTACATCCAACATTATACAAATTAACATTATGGCTATACAACAACCGCACCGGATTGTTCATGACAATCATAAAACATAAGCTTGCGCTTCATGGAAGTACCGCCAATAGGCAGGGAGAAGATGTGCAACAGAAAACCACAACTAACACCACACATCAGAATAGACGCGAGCCAGCCACAGAACCTCACTTACACTATACAATTTGCAGGACATTCGCGCTGCCTGCGATGTATTGCAGGTCATGAATCTGAGCCCCACTATCGCTGCATAAGCAGTGAATGCAAATGTGCAGAGTGCGTTCACTCCCCACACGCGAGACAGGCAGATAGACCACAAAGGAAGGGCTATCATCATAGACATCCGCGCAAGATTCGGGAATGCTATGGGCAAGGTTTTCCTGCCTATAAGGCGGTCCCCCTCTACGTCCTTGAAATCCTGGGCATGCAATGTGCTCGCGAACACTGCAAGGCTCAGAACAATCGCCGAAATTGCGTTGGGTTCTAACCGTGACATATCTTTGCCTGTTCCAATGGTACTAATCAGTAAACAGTTCAGAGATAAGACGCTTGGTAATGAACCTGCAATAAGAGTGGAACCTATCTCGAAGCAGGCGTATCCCACTGCCGTTATAAAGCTCTTCGATATCCAGTGCTCGTGAGCTTTAAGCTCGTTGTAGAATAATATGAACAGCGTCAACAGAAAGCTTAAGCCAAAGACTTGTGAGCTGTAGTACGCAGATGTGGCGAGACAGATGGGAATGAGAGCCCATCGCAGCACAACAGCGTCTTCCAGGCTTATTAGTCCTGCAGGTATAGGTCGGGAAGACTTGTTCTTCCCATCCTCCTGAGGGTCGATTATTTGATTGGCGACATTAAAGTGGAGTAGATGAAGCCAGATCCAGAAAACAATGTGAAAACATCGTTGGAAATTGGAGAGTGGCCCGGCCACAACTGCGAATAGGGTCTAATTCTGGTGAGTGCATAGTAACAGAACGGCGACAAAGTGAATACATACAATTGGAATAATGGTGGTCGTGATGTCGTCCCTCGTGAAGAAATACAGAATTTGGAGGTAGCGCATGGCTGATCGCGGGGGGATAGACAACGCCATTGCCTCTTAGTGACCTATCGTTCGTTCCTAAAAACTGTCTGGAAGTCGGTCGACGGGCCGGTATAAATATTCTAGCGAGCCTTGGAATCTTTCTTGGAATCCGAATGATGTTGGATGATGTTGTTCTGTTTGATCGACATCATGTTTCAACCCCGGTGCCAAATTATCATCGGTGTCATCTACCGATCAATCGATGGTTTAATGAAAGCAATTTATATCACAGTTCCCGCGGGTGCGAGGTACGAGGACAGTTCTGGGCAGTTATTTTGGTGGTGTAGACGGTTGTTGGGAGACTGAGGTCCTTGTGGGAGTGACATCCAAGCATCATACCCACCCACTGGCACTTGAGAGCCTGGTAAAACAAAAACCGTCAAGTAATTCCCGCGTGTCTTGATAGCATCAAAACGAAGCACCAGATCTACAAGAGCAAACAGTTTCAAAATCCTTCGCGGGAGTACTGGTAGGCCACGAGGACACACCCGATCATGCTTCTCAATAAATTTCCGGGACTCGTCTGATGATATCTAATACGGTGGGTAGATAAGTCACATTTGTGGAAGAAGATAGGCACGTACCGTAGGTGGCCATTAGTTAGTTTGACTTCGGCGCATCCGCTTAACCCGCGTGTAATAACCCCATGATACACTTAATCACGTCAACGGTCAAGCTTGTTCAGAAGCTATTGCCAAACAACTCAACATCCGATAAACCGAATGTCATCTTTATCCTTCTTCGGTTCAAAGGCTTTTGCACTCCTCTAGCCGGGCTTAGCGGAGCGATGATAGGCTTTCTAATCTCAATCTTTTCCCCGACGATGTGTTTCGAGAAAATCGTGCAAGGAGCGGCGGTTTTGTCGCCGGTGGATCGGTGGGTGCTGGTTTGCTACCATTTCTAAGGCCCAGGAATAAATGGATAGCCACACTGCAAGAATGTGTTTGACGGTTGACCCACTAACACAGCCCGTATCAGACTGTGCGAAGAGGACTCAATAGCTGTTCTTCCGTCAAGTTGGCTGGTTGGATGGTATGCTATCGGATGATGGAACTTGAAGAGGCATAAGCGAATCGGTCAATTCAATCGGATTATAGAAAATCCTCACGTCTGGCCCATCACATCCCCACGACCCCACTGGAAACGTTACTCCGCGTAGTCAGGGGTTATGACCGGCAGATACAATGGCATGAAACATTTGCCTCATGTGCGGGACCGATGATCGATCAGGGCGGGACAGGGTCGACGTCCAGGAACCTTGGGCTACATGAAAAAGAAGGAACGACTGTAGCTTGTCTTCCACTATTTATTTGCAGGGTAGACTTGGGTACCTGGCAAGATGTTCACTAGCATTTGTGTCGCGTTGATGAGATGCGGGACTCCAGAGGCTGTGTACATGATTCAAGGTGATCAGACAGAACCCGAGAGCATCATGAGAGTCACGTTCGTACGACCTCATTCCTGAGAACATTTCATGGGGTCGAACTTCGGAGGAGTGTAGACTGGATATGACGCGGCGGGAGTTGGAGCCCAGAGGCTTGAGCGCGTTGCAATCAGTGGCTGTCGTAGCCAGCTTCCTCGCAGTCTTAGAACTTCAAAACCGAGTCAGAGTCTAGCCCATGAAACGACGATTCTTCCTTCTAGAATCTAGATCTATTTGTCAGTCTGCAGGGTCGCAGCTCACCGCCTAGCTGAGTTCGGTCATGAACCTTCACATCGGCGGCCCAATTGCAACGTTGAACTAGCTTCGACTCCCTCACAGCCTCTATTTTCGTCGCTCTTCAACGTCAGCAAGAAAATTTGTGCCATGTGCTCATGCAAGGCATCGGAACTAGTCTTCCTAGCTAGCCCTATAGAAGAAGGAACGTTCCTTCTAATACTATTAAGGCATTGAAACAATCTTCGCTGGCAGTTGCACCAGTAGAGTACAAACGCGATGGCAAGTTTGGTTAGACTCGTATATGTGTGCACAGACTTGCACTTCAAAGTTCAGTGGTCCACTTGTACTAGCTTGTCTCCTCATCGTATCGAGAGGCCGAGTGTTTCACTGCTAGTGTTTCAGCAGGTTTATGAGAATCGACAAGTCATTTTCAACACTGCGCAGCATGTGATAGTACTATAGTAAAGAAGAACCGACTGTCTGCCCGGGAAGACTATAGCTAGCTGCAACACCCTCTGAACCATCAGGAAATCAACCCGAAATTGATAAGATAGACCTCGTTCATACACCAGTTCATCACGTGATTTGAGGATAGAATACATGATTTTGGCTCGTTACTCTTTTTAAACTTATAATTAGCTAAATCTGTTCCAAGATCTTGTGGGGATGTACTACAATATCAAAGTGGTCTACTCAGAATCCTCATTTTCGGCGAATTGAAGGAGGAGTAGGCATTTTTGTAGCAAATTCACCCTTGTGACCTATTTGTGACTGATGTGACCGTATCAGTGACTCGGACTTAGACGTGAGGGAGATAAACAATTGAAGCGGCCGTTTGATGTCAAAACTTCAACGATTTCGATGTTCGACACAACGTTCAACAGCCGTTCGAGAATCAATAATTAAATTCAACATGAGGTATTAAGTATATGTGCCACTAATCAAGTTAATCCTGCAGTTTCCAGTTCAACTACAAGTAAGTCACTAAATTATTACATTTTCTTCGTCATTGAACTTTCGCCGTTTTTGATGAGTGGCACCAGCAAGGTTCGCTATGTTTGAAGGCCTCTTTCGTGGCATAGTGAGGTAGATAGACTGTAGTTCAATTTTTTGCTTCTCATTTCGAGTTAGTGTCTGTCACTAATCTAGCGCATCTGTCACGTTGGCGGTGCTTACTTGGGACATTTTGACAATATAATGCCTACTCGTCCTTCAGTTTCTTACATTAGATCATAAAAAATACATGTCCAGCTTGCTACAGACTGTCCACACATAATCTTGGAACAGATTTCGCTCACACTTTGTGTACAACGAGTTATATGCAGATTCATTGAAATGTCACGCTAGGTCACGTGATGAACTGGTGTATGAACGAGGTCTATCTTATGACCAGACAGAATTGGTAATCAAAACACATTATTGCACGTAGCCTGGGATATTTTTATCGTAGTGTCACACATAGGTGTAATAAAATAAGACTATACCAGAGAAATATCACCTTGATGTATGTCTTGGAAATAGACAACAGTGAGATGTGACTAGGCTAGCGCACATGCTCATGTACGTCCCTCATATGTGCGTCCCTTACAGAACGTTGGAATCACTGTAACACTAATTAGACTCGTGTCCAGTTTGGCTATGCAGCGCTGTTTGACACAGGCAACTCGGTTCGTGGTAATACTTATGCTGGTCACGAGCCTATATATCACAAGACTCCAGTTTTCAGCGCCATTACAGATACTTTTTTATTCAACGAAACGAACGCGTCAACCGCTCTGTAAGTAAATATCAACGAACGACAACAGAGCGCTCAGCGCAGAGTCCAGACACAGTACAGGCTCCAATACGACAAAACGTCCAAAACCAACCAAAAAGGCCCTAGAAACGACAGACACTACGTTGAAGCACACAAGACAAGAAAACCACAACGACGCATGCGATAGTTGTAGCTACTAATGAATGAGCAGGAAGAAGAAGAAGAAATCAAGAAAAAAAAGGCTGAGATATTCAACACAACAGTGTCCGTGCGCTTTCTATAAATGCAATCTGTCCATGATCATATCCGCTGTCCGCTACTATGTTGCATTCCTCCATCTGGATTATAAGGATCATAATCTGTCCCTTCACTAGGTCTTCCATACGTGTCCCGATACGGCGAATGCAGGTTAGGACTGCTCGCGTTCCACGCCATGCTTGAATTATCCTGTTGCAACGGGACAAAGGCACTCGAGTCAGAAAGACGTGCTTGACTATTGGTGACTCCTCCGCGGGACGCGCCGTCGCCATACCCGTCGCGCGTGGCTCTCATGGCATACGCACCCGCAGGGTGCTGACGGCTAGCGGCGCGCCGACGGCGAGCCACAAAAATACCAAAGAGCGCACCGAGAATACCAATAACTGCAATAGCTCCAATCACAGCACCAACAATGGTACCCGTGTGCGTGCTTCCCGATGCACCGTTTGTTGTATTGCTGCTACCAGAGCCTTGAGCAGCGGCATTCTGGGAAGACGCCGGGAGAACGCTAGCCGCTTGCAAGGGTTGCGTCCCGACTTGGCCATTGCCGACAATGACCATCGTTCCGTTACTTGGAATACCGTTGATTACGACGAACATGAGAGCAGGTCCGGGAGTGAGAATATTAGAGTTCGGGGGAACTTGAGACACGTGAAGGGTAATTGAACCATCGCTGTTGACAGCGTAAGTGCTGTTCAACTGCAAGTGTCTCTGACCCATGTTCATGGCATGGGTGGTGAAACCACCACGGGACAGAACTACGGTCGTGTTTGCTGCTGCTGAGTTGGCCGAACCAGTGTACGCGGTCGAAGGGACGGTGAGGTCGAAGTAGTTACCACCGTAAGAGAGCGTTTGTGGTGCGCCAGAGAACGTTGGGCGTACGCTGGCACTGTAGTAGGGTGGATAGAATATCTCCGCGGTGTAGGTTGTGGGGAAAATGGTGGTGAGGTTGACATCGATGTTAGGATTTGATCCGGCGATCATGACAGAAGCATCAGGCATGAGTATCGCAGAGGAGTGGTACAGACGTGCGATTTTCGAGTTACCCAGGCCAGCGTTTGACCAGCGGCTGCCTGCGGGCATATTCGGGTTGTAGATGGCAGGGGTTCCGACAGGGCCAGAGGCCAACGACTCGCCGAAGGGCATTAGGTTATATGAAGCGGTCTGGCCGGTAGCCTGAGCATAACCGGCAGTGCCGTTCGCGCCACCATTGACAACCAAAAGGGTACCGTCGGGAAGGATGATGAATTGGCCCATGGTGCGACCCTCAAGCATGTCATCGTCTTGGACATAAACAGGAGAAGAGCCGTCTGTGGGTTCTGGGGTAATGCGCTGACAGTCCGTGGAGGTAGGGTAGGTCCAAGTGTTGTAGTTGGGGTACGAGTAGTTACCCCAATACTCGTCAGGCATATCCGTGCCACCGCAAAAGAGGACGGTTGGGGTGTAGTTGTTAGCGGGAGTAAGGGGTAGCATAGCAACGGCACCAGAAGCAGGGTAAACACGAGCGACATTTCCCGGCATGTTGGGAAGAGGTGTCTCAACGTTGGTGTCGGGGTTCCAGAGGACTGATGGAAGGCGTAAGAAAATTCAAGAAGAGTAAAAAAAAACTTACTGGTAGAAATATTGGCCTGAATGAGCATGTTACCAGAAGGCATGAGGTAGGTATGAGCGTAAGAGTTGAGACCGGAAGTAGTGATCATGAAATTCATGACAGTCGCAGGTCCTCTCGAGGGGTAAAACTCATAGGTTGGCTCAGCAGCACCGCCCTCGTACTCTGGGTCCGTATTAGGGGTATTGCGGTTGATGTAACCACCGGCGACGAAACCGCCTATTAATACAATAGTACCATCACCAAGAGCCTCAGCGGCAGAGTACCACCGCAGCTTTTGCATGGACAGAACGGAAGCGTTGTCAAACCATTGACATTGGGTACTGGCCATGTTATCGGCGCTCGTGCAAGGATTGAGGATACGGATGGACTTTCTTCCATCATAGTCTTGATAGGTTGCATCATATGAACCTGAACCAACACTGCCGGTAGCACCGTCGGGGCCAATGGCACTGTTGCCACCGAAGGTTGCATATGAACCATTTGGCAGGTGCATACCAGAAGCACAGAAGGTGTTGGTCAAAACCTCCATCGGCTGAGCCGAGTGAGTGTTGATATCCCTGGAAACAGGAATTAATTTGGGTTGGTATGAACTGGATACGAAGATGCGTACCACACGGCACCCCAAGCAGGGTGGCCGTCTATTTGAGCAGCATTGCCTTCGGTTTTGTCGAGGATGTAGACCTTCTCCTCGTTGCCAAGGAACATCTTTGGGGGGAGTATTGAGAAAGAATTTATGACAAAACGTAAAAGATTACATACCATCATGGCGCTAACTTGGGTATTACCGACCTGGACGATTGAACCTGCCTGTTGAGCAGATGCCAACTGAGAGGATGCTGCGAGCCCAAGGGCTAGCCAAGCAACGGGTGAAAACATTGCGGGTGGTCGTACTATAAGGTTAACAAAAACCTTGAAAGAAAGCTAGAAAATGGAATATAGGTGGGTTTGACCCGAAGATGAAGTAAAAAGAAGACGAAAAAGAGCGTGAGGTGAGGTTTAGGTGAGCTGAGCTGAGGTGGTCCTTAACAAAGCGTTGACAAAGCGGCGTTTGTTTGTTCTCTTCCGGTCCCGTGCCTCGGACACCCGACACCACGCCACCAATCCTCATTTCTATCCTCATTTATTTGTTCCTCCATGGCTGAAAGCTCCACGGGTCCTGCAATGCCTATCGTATTAGACGAAACCGTATCGTAGTGCCTATGTAAATTGTTGAATCTCTCTGCAATGGGAGGCTTGTTAAAACTTAGGCCACCGACCGGCTGCACTGGCAAGTGACGTGTTTTCTGATACCGTCTACTTGGAAGAAAAACATCGTCACACGCGGTGAGTCAGGACCTTGCAACTTGACTGCACGCTGACTGCAGTTCCCATGAAACTACGTATTCCTAGGCGGCGGCTGCCAGCGCTTCTTTCGATACTCTGTTTCCAATTTTTACCGCGGTTTAGCCCATCAGTCGACTCGAACATTGATTAACTCCGTTCTTCGTGTGTTCAATACAATCAGCAGCTTTGCTTCGCGTGCTGATACTAATATACTATTTGACAGAATGTGGAGTTCCGGCTTGGCTCGCATATCAGGCACGATCAAGTGCACAGCTTTAAATGGCTTGGTCTTTTTTTGGTCACACAAGAAGCAAAGGGCTTGAACTTTGCACCGCGAGCCTCCAAAAGGCCAATTCTGCGGCAAGGTGCAAGTAAAGTGTCTTATTTTTATGATGTCTGATAGGCCCCCGGTTGTTCGGCAACCTGACAACTTCTTTTGACAATTTCTTTAAATTTATGCTCATGTTAGAATGCGAAGTACAAACGTGGCTCTGGGCCGTCAGGCAGATTAATCACGAGGAACATATCTACTTCATGACATGGACGTATGTGTGACGGGCCTTCATCACCGCGCTGCCCTGAAGAAGTGGTTGAAGCAGGTCATGCATTAACGTACGACGCATTCGAAAGAAGTTATTCCCAAAATAACTGATGGGCCGGCCAACATGCGGCAATCAAAAGTGTATTGGATATCAACGAGCCCTAAATAGCTTGTTGCTGAGCCTCATAAGCTGTGCGTAAACTGCAAACAGATGATCTGTATAATGAAGTCTCGTTCACTTTGCAGTCCGTAGAATCACGCCCTTCTTCGTTTTACTGCATAACTATGATAACCAGCGATCCGTAGTGCTGTCTGAACAAGTTTCACATTTTTATCACGCTAGCGACGGAAGTGTGAAAATATAAATTCCGCGATCATGATACAGACAAGCTAACACGATGGGCGATCAACATGTGATGATGTCAGAATCACACGGTGTCCACACGATGCCTCCAGCACCAATACAAGCCGCCATCCAAAATAACAGAGTCTCGGACATCGACGGACTGGGAAGCATATCCTGCTGAACCTGGCTGTCATGTGAGTGAACCGGAGCTCGGAACAGGTCGGAGATATATGCGTTTTCCATATCTTATAAACATCAAACGATTAGCTGATGAAACGATGCACAGAGAGAGAGAAAGACAGACTAGAACTGAAGTTTCCAAATGCCCAGAGTTCATACGTCGTGACGGCAAAATATTGACATTTCTGCTTGGAGCACATGTCCCATAACTTGTCCGTATCGTGTCAGATAGTGATGCGCATAGGGGTGTTGACAAAGACTTACCAAAGCCCACAAAATAGCTGGTGCACTGGCAGGTTTGCTGGTGGGGATCCCATCGAGGCTTCCAGGGGTCACCTAAAAGTATGCAACCAGGAATAAGAACAATGTCTCAAATGTAGGGACAATGCTCGCACCTCTCCTGTGTCGATGAAACTTATGAAGTCCATATTATCAAAGGCCCACGGAGGAACGACGAGGACGATCATGCTCGTATAGCCGGGATGTGGGCTGGGCTGTGATGAGCGAAGCGCCGTTCAGACCAACCCGGGAGGGGAAAAAAAGATGCGTACGAGGGAGACAACGTCAAAAATATTATCCTTCACGGGGCACATTTCGGATGAGCTTCTGAACTGCAGGAATTTGCGAAAAGCATCCCCATCTATTCCTTCGGGTATATCATGCAGGATGTGCAAACATCGCGCAACGGTCCGGAACGCAAATGTCATGAGAAGTGTCGTGATGTCGGTGACAAAATTGACATCTTGCATACACGCGTTGATACCCTTGTAGTCGTACACCATAAGATTGATGGAGGGTAAGGTCAGGTCAACAGAGTCTTTCGTTCGCTCGAGTTGTTTATCCTTCTGTCGCTCAAGGTCTGCCAATACTATTAGGTAAACTTGTTATGCAAAAAGCAACCGTTCGAACTGACATTCGCATACAGCCCCATGTATACGGTATGGCATAATCCGCGAAATGGTGCGGAGCTTCCGCATTCCAGGCGCAGCCTGCAGCTCTGGGTAATGGGGCCAGACAAATTTCTGCTCGACCCGAGGGCCAAGCTTAAACGCCGGAAACCAGGATTCCTGAAGATATCGCTTGAGAGAATGCGCGTCCTTGCCTGTCTCGTCGTCTACCACGGATTCATCATCTGTCTCGAATGGTCTAGGAACAGACACCAAATCGCGGGCATGCTGAACGACGATGTTGTTTACGCGGTGAGTGCGAACTAGAGCACGGGTCCGAGAGTCAGTGGAAGGTTCGGAAGGTTCGATTAGTTGCCTTCTGAACTTCCAGTCGAGAGTGCTGGCGTCTAGCGGTTCTGTAGGCGCGCGAACAAGAGGGGACCTGCGTGGTGGCATGTGCCAGTATGGGAATTGGAGACTTCAAAAGTTGAAAGGGATGAGCAGCACGCTTTCAGAATTTAAAACAGTACAGATGCCTTGCTGCTACTGACCTCCTTTATACTCATGATGGGCAAGGACTGAGACACTATGCTTGTCGGGGATACTGCCCCCTATGGGAGGACCGAAGGCCTCAGCATTATTGTGGGTCTCCCTCCTGGGAGACCTAATTGTTCCAGAGCTCTCAAACTCTTGTTGTATATGATATGCCTGTGACATCGGCTACTAAGGAAGATCATTCCAAAGGGCCCACTGATGCATTGTGCTGGGTCTGTCAATGCCTGGGGGTTACACAGAAGTACGCATTGCCATTTGACAGGTACATGATGACTCCTGTGTAATCCCAGGTTGATACCGATGACCATAGCAGAAAACAATTATTAGTTACGTCTCCCGGACCTGCAGGATGGCTGTTGCAGACGTTGTGACATCGGGGATCATATCGTCAACTTCTGGTGTGTGATTGAGAAACCGGAAACCCCCGTTCATTGGCACGCACGTGACTTTGACGCGTCTCTTCAACGTTTGCGGCGCATAGTATAAAACAGTTCACAACTCAGAGTCGCCGAGGTCGTATTTCAATGCTATTTGGGCGCAGGCAACTCACGGACACGACTCCAACGACTCCGAGAGGCTGCGCGAGGAGCACACAAAAAAGTTCAAAGCTAGATGTGCTATTCTGCTGTATCACACTGTCGGGCGCTCCCCAGTTTCCTCGCCGATGAGTCCGGATGACTGACCGGGTTGCCTCCAAGCCAGAAGTTGGGCGTCCCGACCGAAAGCTGGGATATATCGTCATTAATGGCCGGGCATGGTTGGTCAATTTCCGTCTGAATCGCAGACTAGTCTCTATAGGGTTACTGGAGTTGATTGCCGGCTCCATGTGGTTTCTGATCGCGTTGCGCTGCTTGATGGCTCATTCGTCTACTTCCAACAGTGCGATATGGCTACCAGAGTTCCTGCGACTTCGAAGTTGCACCTGCAACAAAGCGAGGATGAGGCGACTCTGGCCAAGCTAGGATACAAGCAGGAGTTTCGCAGGGAATTTACTCCGCTAGAGGTAGGCTTGATATCAGATTTTCGTGTACACGATACAATCTATCAGTTGTACAGGTGTTTGGACTTGCATTCAGCTATACAGGACTGCTGCCTGGTATAGCGTAAGTCGCCACTATGATGCAAGCATGTGGACATCACTCCTTTACTGACAAAAATCCATTCAGCTCCATGCTCTTCTATGCCATACCAAATGGTGGGCCTGTCGCTATGGTTTGGGGAGTAAGCTTTCATATGTGACGATTACTGTTTTGTAAATACCTCATCTTTGCTCTGCGCAGTGGGCAATTGCTTGCCCTTTCATCATGTGCATCGGTTTGGCGCTGTCAGAACTTGCGTCAGCGGCGCCTACTTCTGGTGGCGTATGTCCTTGACCCCGTGTCCGTTTTACACTTGACTCAGCAACGTCTAGCTATACTATTGGACTTACTCCCTTGCTTCCCCGCGGTGCCGCAATTTTCTGTCTTGGACAGTTGGCTGTACGTCCTGCATTTCCGTATGATACGCAGCGCGTCCCGACATCTGCAGATGCAAACACCATAGAGAATATCACGGGAGTCGGTAAGGCGATGTTTGTTCCTTCAATAATCTGCCTCTGATCGTGTGGGGCTAGCTTCCATAAACTGGGCTTGCGCGATTCAAATCACAGCAGCGATCGGCATCGCCACTAACGAGTCATATGCGACTACAAATGGACAGCTCTAGTAAGCCCGTTCTCTTCCAAACATGAAGCTCTTCATAAGGGTTATCATCAGCGGTATATACGCAGCTCTGGTACTGTCACAAGCCGTCCTCGTGAGCCTGGGTACCAAAGTCTTGGCAAGACTGCAGAGACTGTACACGTTGGTAAATTTGTGGTAGGTGGTGTGCATTTGTCCATGTTCTTTGCTTCAAATCCTCCGATAGCCTTTGCTTCATAGTCATTATCGCGCTTCCGATTGCAACGCCGCACGAATATCGAAACACTGCAAGTTTTGCGCTAGGGAATTTCACAAACTGTATGTATCGTCTTCCGATTACAACCGCAGCTCATTGGTCACTCGTAGTGGACGGCTGGCCATCTGGATTCGCATTTATCTTGAGCTTAATGGCTCCTCTTTATACAACAGGTTAGATCGTCTTCTCCCGAGTGGTCAGCTCATGACAATCCTCAATCCATCAGGGGGTTATGACGCTAGCGTCCACATGAGCGAGGAGGCCTCGAACGCCGCCATTGCGATACCATGGGCGATCGTAAGTGATGCTAGAAAATGACCTGTTGTTGTGTTTACCCCAATTAGACCGGTGCCATTGCCATGTCAGCCGTACTTGGTTTGGGTGTGTAGAACGACGCGTCACTCTGATCTTGATGACATATTCTCATCCAGGAATCAACATTACAATTGCCTTTTGTATGGGCACCGATCTTGTCGGCATCTTAAGTAGCCCTATAGGCCAGCCGATGGCGCAAATCTTATACAATTCGCTCGGACAAAGAATGGCCTTGGGTATATGGTGTCTCATCATCTCAGCGATGTACGTATTAGCAGAGCATGACCCATTCACAGCCTAATCGCAGCAGGTACATGGTAGGATCGAACGGCCTCCTGGTCGGCTCTCGCCAGACGTTTGCATTTGCTCGTGATGGAGCCATCCCATTTTCACGATATCTATACCGAATCAACGGCTACACAAAAACACCAGTCAATACAGTTTGGTTCGACGCCGCCTGTGCTCTAGCAATTGGACTTCTGGCTTTCGTGAGCACCCAGGCCATCAATGCGGTATTCACGATTGCTGTCACTGCGTCGTATGTCTCTTTCATAACGCCGATTGCAACCCGCTTCGCGTTTAAGAACAATTTCAAACCCGGCCCATTTCATCTTGGGAAACTGGTGAGTCAATCTCCAGGGATGTATTCCTAAGCTCATATGCCCCTGCAGAGCTTTCCGATTGCTGCGATCGCTGTGTCGGGGATGGTTTTCATGATCATCGTTTTCTTCTTTCCCTCCACCCCGAAAACAACCGCGCAAGAGATGAATTATACGGTCGTTGTCCTTGGAGGGTACATGTTCCTTGCGGTTTCTTGGTATTATTTCCCGGTGTACGGAGGCGTGCATTGGTTCGAGGGACCTATATCCAACGTTACATCGGCAAACGGAGACGGAGGCGAGGATTCCATAAAGGAGAAGAAGGAAGAACGTGAGGCAGAATTCTATGTTTCAGTGGCTGATGTGTAGGTGGTGTTCGCGTGCTGTCGTCAAATGGTCGGTACACGGAAATGGTATTTCAGCTGATTTCAAAGCAAAACAGTACTTCGATATTTCAAGAATATTGCGCGTCAGAGCCTGGTGAAGACCATCAAGAAAACATAAGAGTTTACATACTGCCGATGCTAGTGAGCCATGTAGTAGCTATGTATTGTGAACGGCGAATAGGGAGTTGTTTACCTATAGAACGATGTACTAACCCTTGTCACTGACGTGGTGCAGTGGAAAGCATATCCTGCTGTCATGCGAGTGAACCGGAGCTCGGAACAGGTCGGAGATATACGCGTTTTGCATATCTTATAAACATCAAACGATTAGCTGATGATGCTACTGACCTCCTTTATACTCATGATGGGCCAGGACTGAGACCTCAGACACTATGCCTGTCGGCGATACTGACGCCTATGGGAGGACCGGAGGCCTCAGCATTAATATTATTGTGGGTCTCTCCTGGGAGACCTAATTGTTCCAGAGCCCTAAAACTCTTGTTGTATATGATATGCCTGTGACATCGGCTACTAAGGAAGACCATTCCAAAGGGCTCATGCATTGCGCCGGGTCTGTCAATGCCTGGGGGTTACACAGAAGTACGCATTACCATTTGATAGGTACATGATGACTCCTGGTTGATACTGATGGCCATAGCAGAAAACAATCATTAGTTACGCTGTTGCAGACGTTGTGACATCGGGGTCATACAGTACGCCATCTCATAATGTATAGCGACGGGAGCTGCCTTTTCACTATACAATATGAGAGATATACGGTTGCGGACAACCAAACTCACCAACTTTGATAGCGGCTGCAGATGATTTTTTTGAGCCAAAACCAAGGCCAGATATGAACAAAAAGACACTAGTTCGAAGTTTTCCCACGATATTTTTGGCCTGCCAAAAATTTTCAGGATTTTAGTAATACTATGTTGGTTTTCTAAGTGAGCCGAGGTATGAGGTTTGGTCTATGTGTTAGTAAGCGATGTGGCACAGCACTCTTTGCTCCCGTCCACATCCGCGGTACCGCTTCGACTTGGCTTGCAGTCTGTACACGCTGTAAAGCCTCGTTCTTGTTTGCACCTGCCCACCACTCTCTCTCTCAGGGTGCAGACAAATGCTTCATAGTTCTGTTACTTAATCCAACTCCTTACCATTGTCTGATGCACTGCACTTGACACTTGCAATGTCAGTGACCTGATTTGAGCCCGCCTGCCCTGTCACAGCTCACCTTGCTACCCAGTTTGGGTGTGTGTTTTTGGCCGAAAAACCCTCTGGGTTTTTTCCCAAAAACTTTCACTGACTTCTGGCTGCACTGGTCATGAGTGCATGCCACTGACTTCTTGTGTGGCAGTTAGCGCTGGCATGCATAGAACCTATTCTGGACTACTTTACTTGGGTAGCACTGCCTTGATTGCCATCATAGCATGTTGTGATACTTGTCTGTGCTGTTTCTGCTTTCGTACTGCCCATTCTGCAGCTTTTCTGGTTAGTCCAAATCTGTATGCACTTATAAAGCAGTAAGAGCAGTTGATGAAATGGCAAATAACCTTGGCTGGACAGGAATCAAGAACTTCCACAGCAGCCTTTTTTGCTGCTGCAAAGTTTGACTTCACAATCTGACAATAGCAGTATTTGCACCAACCCCAATACTAGATATCAAAATCAGACAAAAGGTGAATGCAAAAATGTAGGAATATACTTACCATTTCAATAGGCTTGAGTTCACAATGAAATTTGAGTAAAAAAATACATTCATGACCAGCATCCTTGATGCATTGTTCAAGCATTGACACCTGGCAGCGAAAATCCTCTTGCTGGCGAAGAAGTTGAGCCATGCAGCATCCAGTCCTCTCAAAAGGGCACATCAGGGCACTGTTAAGGTTGTGCTCAAGGGGGAGGTTACTCAAAGGGCTTTGGCTTCAGCTTGTGCGCTGCACCCCTTACCTGAGTATGCACCCTTAATTTCTGAGGGGCAGAAGGGAAGTCTGACGGAAGTCCGGGGAAGTCCGGAGGTCAGATATAGGAGGAGTTCGGCGGAACTCTGGAAGACTATGAGAGAACAGGGTAAGGCTACTATGGACAAGTCTGGAGTAGAAGCAGAACAGAGTTCAGACTACCCTAAGGTAGAGCTGGAGATTTAGTCCTAAGGTTTAACCCTAAGACTCAGAGGTAGACAAGAGATGAGACTCAAGTCCAGAGAAGCAGGAATGAGCAGAACTAAGATGATATTTGAACTGAGGAGTTCCGGAGTATTACAGGAGTTTATATACTGTAGGTATCATGTAGGTAAATCAGTCAGCAAAGTAAGGGCTATGCCTGAAGCATGTGGAAAGTCTATTAGTAAGTGTATAACAGATCAAAGCAGTGAAGTCAGAAATGAAGTATGAACAGACGGATCAGTAAGCATAGCAGAAAGGACATAACTGGTAGCCAGAGCAATAGCTATTCTAAAAGGAGATAGGGGTGGGTACAGAGATGAAAGTGGAGCACTGGGCGAAATAACAGGATGGAGAACCAGACTTTAGTGGGGGAGATCTGGAATTCCAGATCTGGAGGTACGGGATATGACAGGCACATTTAGCTCATAAACCATGAACATCAAATCCACGCTCCTCGAGGACTGATTTGAGGCCCTTTTGTGCACCAAGGGGTGTTGTCATCTTCTGAACAAGCCTATGTTTTGTGGGATCAGGGTTTGAATGAGTGTCATATCCCGTACCTCCGGATCCAGAGCTCTGGAACCCCTCCACTAAAGTCTGGTTCTCTGTCCTGTTATTTTGCCCGGTGCTCCGCCTTCATCTCCATACTCACCCCTATCTCCTTTTAGAATAGTTGAGCCCCTTCAGTGACTTGACCCTATAGACTCGGCCAGCCCAAGTTGACATTTCTCCATAGGTGTAGGGCCAGCCCACCATGGGCCCACATTATATTGTCGTCCGATGTTGATGGGTGGGCCCACAGTAGAATGGGCTCAATGCTTTGGAGTGGGCCCATGGGTGTCAGAATTAATAGATGTGTATTGAGGGGTGGGCCTACAATATTGAGTCCTCATCACCCTTGGGTGGGCCCACAGTCCATAAGTACCGCCGACTGTTAGGGCTGGGCCCATAGTAGAATGTGCTCGATGCTTTGGAGTGGGCCCATGGGTACCAGAATTAATGTATGTGTATTGAGGGGTGGGCCTACATAATTTAGTCCTCACGACCATCGGGTGGGCCCATGGTCCATAAGTATCAGTGGCAGCACGCCGGGAAATGGGGTCGGCAAAAAAAATGGGCATTTGGAATGTGGCCCATTAGCTTCGGCGAGGGGATCCTGGAAAGTAGTATCGGGGAATGGATGTCAAGTATGAGGTCCAGCAAATGGTCCATTACCATTGGCGATTGTATTCCAGGAATTAAGATGCTGGTATAGATATCGGGAATGATTGCCGGCAATGGTCTATTTGCATTGGCTGGATCGATATGTATTGGTGGCAGTACTCCGGGAAATGGGGTCGGCAATAAATGGGCATTTGGAATGCGGCCCATTAGCTCCGGTGAGGGGATCCTAGGAGACGTATCAGGGAATGTATGATATACAGCAATGGTCCAATAACATCGGTGAGTGTGTGCTGGGAAGTAGGATACATGAATAAATATTGGGAATGATTGCCGGCGATGATCTACCTGCATCGGCTGGTGGATTGGCAAATATATATTGGGAATGATTGTTGGCGAGGGTCCAGTAACATCGGCGGGTGTTACCAGTGATGGAATGCATATGGGGATTGACCACTGACAATTGAGGAATGAATGGCGGCGCCATAACATTAGGCCCATCAGGCAAGTATACATTCAGCCGTGCCAAATGCTGCTTTGCATCTCGGCGACACTGGCACTTCAGGCATTCTGGGTCTACATGTTGCCAATGTTGAAGTTGCTGATGCGACGAGTTGATACATAACCAGACACGTCATGTCTCGCCAACACCTCCATTCCCATTCCACCAGTATCTCACCGGCGCAATGTTCAGGTTGCCGGCAACACCACTGTCACCGGCAACACCGCGGGCAATACTGCAGTTAGAACAAGCACTGGCAGTACATACATCTCCCTGGCAGAAGTATCTGGCTCTTGCTGGTACCTATATCTATTCCACTAGTGAGCTGGTTACCGGCGTGAGGGCCCTTCACCGGTAAAGCTGTCCATATTATCATTCAATGCCAGCGGCAGCAAATGCAATCAGGCAAAAGTATTCATTGAGGACTGGATTTCTGACCGGCATACACATGTAGGGGGAAAAAGAAAAGTCATTGTCATAAAGGGTCATTATCATAAGGGTCATATGTAACAGGCTTATTGCAGCCATGTATCTATAGTACAGAGTCCAATTCAAAGTAAAGTAATACAAAGTATGTCCAATACACATTTCACTCCTGAGCGGAAGATGCAATAGATGCAGACTCAGCCTCTGCAACATCATTGGTGTTGCCGCTGAGGCCGGCATTGATACCAGACGCAGGGGCAGACTCAGCTGGAGCCTCTGCAACATCCATGTTGTTGCCGCCAGATGCGGAGGCAGACTCAGCCAGATCCTCTTCAACATCCATGTTGTTGCCACTAAGGCCGGCAACAACACCAGACACGGACTCAGCTACTTCTTCAGCCTCGGCAATAGCTCCAGACGCGGGCTCAGCTCCATCTTCTGCCGCGCCAATATTCTTGTTGTTGCCGCTGAGGTTGCCGATAATAACTGGCAGGCATGCTGTGACAGGAGATGCAGGGACTGGGGGAGGGAGCAACTGCCAGCGAAGTTCTTCGAATTGCTCGGCGAGGAGTTTTGAAGTCGCCTCCTGGTCGGCCAATCTCTGATTGGCTTCCAGGAGACGCTTCTCCCCAATGCTGGCCTTTGCCTCCAATGAGGCGACAGTGGATTGTAACGCCTCGACTTTGCTCCTTCAGGGCAACAACAGATGCATCTGCTGGCCCATCAGGAGTGGAGGCAGAGGTGGGGGCGGCAGCGATGGCAGGAGCGGTGATGGGAGTGGTGGTGGGAGTGGGAGTAGGAATGGGAATGGGAGCTGGAAGCAGGAGCGGGAGCGGGAGCGGCGGTGGTAGCAGCAACCGGTGCAGGTGCACCAGATGTAGATGCTGCTGCTGGAGTGGCTGAATCATCTAGTGTTAGATAAAAATAAAAATAAAACTGAGTACTCACCTGTCTCTGGAGAGACATGCACCGGTGATGCTTGGCGGCGAGATTTTGAACGCCCCTGCAGAGTTGTGGTCGCTGCCGGTTTCTTCGCTTTGGTGGTAGGAACGGCGGAACTGTTACCACCACACTTATGCTTGAGGTGGTGGCAGGCTTCACATACGGTCAGTGCTTCACATACAGTCAGCGCTGCACCGGAGTTGTTGTAGCCTTGGAGGCATATAAGCCCTCGGTGGATGCAGGGGCCGCAACCTGGTGACCATGTGTTGGGATCGGTGGCATCATTGCCGGCGATAGCCAATGGTGCGGGCTACATTTCATATCATTAGAAGGTGAATGCCAGATGGGAGGAAACACTTACCGGAACCTGAACATATGGCGTGCCCATCTTTGGCGCCGGGCCAACGTTCGCCGTCATCTCATCGTCAATCTCCACATACAGTCTTCTTCTTCTTTGGTGGAGGTTTGGGCAGTCGGCTCAGCATCCTCCTCATCGTCGCTGGTGATGGTGAACGACTTGCTTTGCGACCAGGTCTTCTTGAGGGCAGGAGGAAGTCTGGTGGGCAAGGATGCCTGCCGGGGAGGTTAAATCACATATACAAAGTCAACAAGGAATACTTACCTTCTTCCTGGCCTCTGGTGCCGGGTTGCTGTTGGGGAATGTCGGCCATGTCCAACTCCCATTCGTCCTCAGCTGGTGATCATGGCCTTGGAGGTGGCACTTGGCCATTTTTGCCTTTGGCGCGTGACTCTGACTGCGGGGGGCGCTCATGCACTGGAGTTGCTTGCGTTCCATACCATGGCCGCGCTGTTCTGTTGGTTTGGCCTCAGGATCTTCCCTTGCCTTGCCTTTGCCCTTGCCTGCAAGGACATTGGCATCCTGGGTGACTGCAGTGTTGGATCCAGATGGACTGGCAACAGGAGGATTGGTGGGTGGTGGGGGTTTGCCATAGGCAAGAGTGACGGGGTAAAGCAGGCTATGCTGGCTCTGCGGATCGTCTGGGTGAATGTTGGACCAGACCGGGGCACTGACAACATTGCAGGAGGAGTCGTCCAGGTGCTCATGAATCTCTGCGGTGGCAGAGAGCACCATGGGTGGCACAGAGGTTGCCGAATAGGCGTAGCTGCTGAAGGTAAAACTCTACGAAGATTAGAGAATTTGAAACTTAAAAGTAACAAGACTTACAAGAGATGCGGCCATCTCCATCGCAATTGTGATGTGTTTGGGATTGGCAGGCTTCAATTGGAGAGCCTGCCCCAGAAGATGTTCAACCTTGTTGGCTGCATTGAGGAAACCAGCATTGGCTTTGTTAGTGGCCCAGTCAACTATGGCGGTCATGGTGATAATGGTGGTAATGGTGTTAAGATGAGGGGTGGCGATGAACTGCGAATGATGAAGAAATACAAGTCCAACGTGAACTAATGTGGCAGCTGATTATGTCACACATCCAATAAATTTCCATATCAGGCTAATGCACAATGGAAATCTGCAAATCACAATTTCGGCATGATCCTGCAATTCACTTCGGTATGTTCTGATTACAGCAAACAATATAAATTCCCATTCGCCAATCATCATATTCCAAATATCCAATCATGTCCAACATCACCGGTGCCACCGAGCGCTTAAGTCCAACCGGCGACTCTTCGACCAGCGACAGTAGCACCGGTGAGCGTCCCACTTTCGATCTTGCCGACATGGCAAACATATTTGAGTTCGCCAGGTCCCGCTTGCTGGCTATATGCCGATCCCTGGAGAACACCACGCCGTCATCGGTGACGGTCCTAATTATTAGCAAGTACCTCATGTGGGAGGGCGAGGTAAGTCTTCAAATTCTTGTTTTATCCATCTAAGTTTATCAATCACTGGTCAGGTTTTTTTCTTGCCTTGGGTCGCTTATTGCGAAGGCTTGAGCATCTGCCCTCCCTTGTCCCACAACCTCCAATGGTTCGTCGGGATCCTCGGCATGAGCTCAATGGAGCTCCTGACCTACTGAGAGCTCTATGACAACTTTATGAAGTTGCCAGTGGAGCCCTCCAGTGCCTGGGTCACAGGTTGGGTTGTCAACACATATCCCATGGACTGGTGGAACACCGCTTTCGATGCGGTAGACTACAGGACTTTCACGTCCCGGTACCCTGGTTGGAAGCAAGTCGTGCAGATGGTCGCAGACCACTTTGAGCAATTGGTAAGTCATCCTCATTTCAACTATGCCTGCCAGCCTTACAGTGCAATCTAGCCAGAAGGCCTGCATGTTGATAACCCCAGCGACATTGGTGCAGGCAAGATCAACGCCGGTGGCACAGCAATTGACCACCATTCAAGCTGGGGTCACACAAGGAAGGGCACACATCATCACAATGTTGGAGAACAAGGTAGTGGAGGCAAGGCTTGTAGCTGCCTCCTTGATGAGAATGGAGACCGCATTGGGTGAAGATGTACTGCGACGCCATCGCTGCCACTGAACTCCTAGTGAAATATTTGAAAGCGGAACAAGATTAAATTACCTACAATAACTTTACATACAAGATTAGCCCTAGGATCATTAGACTACACTATAGAAAGTCAGTGTTCAACCATTGATTGATGCCGGCGGCAACCACTTGAATTTGATCATTTATTGCTACATGGATGTCAGCGGTATCAATCTGAAGTCTACTATAAGACCGCCGGCATAATATGCATTGGGTTCCGGGCTGCCTTTGCAACTTCAAATGCATCCCGGGAATCCTCATACAGGCGCTGATACATTTTGCACTGCTGTGCCGCATAGGCAAGGTGTCCCACCTTGTTGGCGGCTTTTGAGATGGTAGCCAGAAGGATCCATTGCTCGGCTTTGTGCAAGAAGAAGTTGCATGTCCAATTCATTTCATGCTGCACAAGTAGCATTTCCTCCTCCCACCTGTCTCTTAGAGCCTTGGCACGGAGCCAATGCACCCGGTAAACTGAAGATTGTCGGCAGGATCAGCAGTGCCCTGGCGAAGGACATGTGAAGACCTCACATTCATTCAACCTAATCACTGCTATCAGAGTCTCCCTCCACATCCATAGACCAGAACCAAGCCAACATGGAGTTTCTCTGACCTCTGGCATTGGGATCAGGCAACTGGTGGTGCTGACCTGGAGATGTTCTTTAAGCAATGGCCGGTATCTGTTCAGCAAAATGTCGGCGGCACCGAGTTTGCCGAGTTGAGACCAGCACTTGGAATAGACGCTTGCGTTGATGCTTACCGCCTGGTCCACTGCATGGATCTGGGCCCAAGCTCTGGTGGACTTTGCTTGTGACTTTGCTGTTCTGACTGTCTTTTGGAAGATGACCGCCTTGTCTGCCAAGTGCACTCTGATGTTGTGCAAGGTGTCATTGGCCTGTCCTTCGCGGAGGACATGTTCTTGATGGATCATATCCGCGGCACCGAGCTCAGCGCATCTCCCCTGGCCCAAATTGGACGGCAATGGTATTACAACCTTTTCTGGCTCAAACAGTCTGAATTCATCAGCTGTTTCATCATCTGAGTCTTCTTGAAGGATCAGCAGCTCATGCTCCATCATGTGGAGGTCGGCATCGCCAAACCCGTCGCCTGATGAATGTCACCGACCAACGGTCAATGTCTCCTTGCAGTCTCTCACTGATGCCGCCCGATCTCCAGTTGTTGGTTCTCTGTTGGATGCCGCCCTAGCCTTCCTAACATCCATGTGGAGAGTCACCTGTGCCTCCTCAATGGAAAGCCCTTCTGCCAGCCATGTCACCGCTCCCCTCTGGCGGGCAGGAGCAGGTTGCTGGCCATTTTCCTCCAGCAACTTCAATTCCTGTTCTTTCCTGGTCGGAGCTATCTTGCCGTCGGCCTTGATTTCGGTGATATCATCGGCTCATACCTTTCTGCAGTTGGACTTCATAAATGTCCATTGCCTTTGGATCAGTGCTACGCTGTTCCTGTGCCAGCCTCTCCTGTTCCCCCCAGTCCCTGACATTGTTTTTGTCGGCACTCTGATCCAGCTTTTCAAAGGCTTCCCTACTGTTGGCGAGTCCTTTCACAGCTTGCCTACTGTCGGCGAGTCCTTTCACAGCTTGCCTGAATTTCCGGCAAAGGGCCTTGCCTGCATGATCCGGTGAGCAAATTGATTGAGGACCAACGGAGCATCCACTCATCCTGATCATTTTCATGAAATTGCAATCATTCATTTGGTAATCCAGGCACTCCTTGTGGTGAGGGGTCCCCATCCCCCATGCCAAAGGAGAGATTATGTTCAACGGCACCCAAAGGGTCTCCATGATCTCGCCGTCAATTCTGGCGGTGCCGGCGATAAAGTTAGAAGCATAGTGAACATAGCAGCTGTCTTGGTGGCCATGAACATGCCATAGACCTATCCCTGGGATTATCTCCATCTGCTCTTGAATTTGCAAATAGGGGCTGTCAGCTACCCGATCCTTTAGATACTTATTGTACTGGCAATTAACATCATAAAATGTCAGTGCGCGCCAGATGCCGCTGGCATTGTGTTTCAATGTCTTGCACAAAGCATAGTCCATGTTCATCTGCCTGGTGAGTGTCAGCGAGGCTCTCAAGCCATAGATACACTAATTGTGTACCTTTCTCCCTTCTGAAAATCCACCATTGCATGCGGGACAAAGCAGCCATGCCTTGCACAGGCACATCCGCCGATGCCGGTTGCCTCCAGTCTGTGATGGGATGCATTGGCTTGATTCACTGCGCGGTGATTGTTGCACTCGGACCGTTGAACAGCATCCTTCGCCAGTGCCAGATGCACCTTGTATTTGCCATCACCAACCATGAAACCGCGTCCATCCATGAGGGGGACTTCATCAATGGGATTCGCCGCATGCATATGCTCTGGTTTGAAGTTGCCATCCATGACCAGCGATCTTGAATAGAGCCAACTCGGCATCTCCAGATCTGATTCTCTGTTGATCTCCGCTGCGCCTTCTTCAGTCGGCAATGTCACATTAATTCCCTGGCTGGGGAACATGCCGGGCAGAAGAGAGCGAGATCGCCGGGTTCAATGTCTTTTTCCTCGTGGCCGAAGCCATTCCATTTCAACAGCTTCAGTTGCCACCACTGCCTGGGAAACAAGCTGAGTGAGGGACAGAACGAGATCCTATGGCTGCTGGGCAGGGCTTACCATGGATGTTGGTAGTGGCAGGGGTATGAAATCCTGCTGGTTGAGGTCGCCGACCCAATCATCTCCACCTGAGAAATAGCATATCCTCGGATGGCCACTGCTTCGATGATGACTTGGTAGGGGTGGCCGGAACTGATTGAATTTTTCGAATCTTGGGTCTCTCTACCCATTTCCCTGTTGCTTTCCTGGTCCGAACTGTTTTCTTCCATTCCACCAGATGAATATTGCTGGTAGGACTCCACTCCTGCACTTTAGAGCCCCTCATGTGCTAAAGCCAATGGTATGTGAATAGCAGGCTGATGCATTGTGTTGACAGTTATCATGTAGCTATATGTACATAAGATGAAATGTCATAGGAACCGAGGGATCCGAGTAAGGGTCATGGGAACCTACAATTTTCAATATCCCACCATTCAGACCATCAACCATCTCACAAAATGGCTCGGAGTGAATCCCCTGTCATTGTCCCCCAGCAGACAAAGCTTCCCTTGATCAAGGTGGAAATTGCAGTCCTCAAGACCCACCTCGAGGACTGGAGGACTGTGAAAGGTAAACAGAGACAGAATGTATTGAATGCCATCCACAGGGAAGCTTGCCTCCAAGCTCCCACTCGTGACAAAGCCATGCTCAAAAGCCGGAAAAAGGTATGTGCCAGTGTACATATATACATGCTCTAGCTATTTATTTCGGACAACAGACCTACAAGGAATGGCTCTACAACCAGTGTCGCCGGAAGGCTCCAAAGCCTCTCATTAAGTATGGCAAGAAATGGACGGCTCACTGGGTGTTGATTGAGCAGAACAAAGCCCAGATACGAGAGGAGACTGGAGAAACTCCTGGGAGTGAGGGGATGATCACCAAGTGGCCAGAGGCCACAAAGACTGTGCTCGCTGGTCTGTCAGCAGAGGAGAAGGAAGAGGCGAGAGTGACGGCAGAGAAGTGGAACAATGAAGCTGTGCTGCCCGACATCCAAGCCAATGTCGCCGAAACCAAAGGCACCAACATGATCGAGCATTTTGCGACGGAGATGTTCAAGCAGGCTGGAATGAGGATCTTCATGATGTTGGCATGGCAGAACCGGGAAGGCAAACTAATGTTAGGAGTGTGAGTGTTGTTTGAACTCTACCGCCGGTCAGCCAGATCTAAACTTGTTAAAGACATGACTTCAATGAGCAGTTTGGCGGCAGCGAAAGCTTTTTGGAGACAAGGGACTGGGAAGGGAACTTCATGCCAGACTGGCAGGCAATATGCCAGCGAGCAATTCGGTGAGATGCCAATTCAAGAGAATGAAGCGGCATTCTAATTAACAAATATCCAGACTGTCCAGGATGAAGATGTCCCCCAGGTGGTGATGACCAAGAAACGTGTGCCGCGAAAACTCCTCAAACTGGAGGAGGATGATGATGGGTGGCCAATGCTCCCCGACACCACAGGCTGGAAACGCAGCGATCAACAGCATATCATTCGGTCGTTCCTCACTAGGCACTACAGTCAGTTTAAGTCTCCTTTGGTATGCCGCCGCGTATTGATTTCAACAGGGATGTGCATGGGAAAAGACAAAGCAGTGGCGGCGGTGCCATGGGGTGACTTGGTGAAGAGCCAATCAGATTTCTTTGATGACACCTAGTGGCCTGCCGACGTGCAGTTGGTGGAACCTTCAAAGATGGACAAAGCAGACGCCACTGCTCTGTTGTATTTCTGGCATCACTGACAGGAAAGAAGCTTCGCCCAACCTTCTGTTTCAAAGCTTGGAAAGACACCAACGGCGAGATGGAGACACGCGCAAAATCTTTCCACAAGGCAATGTGGCGAGCTACTCAGCATGGCCAGAGCACCGGTAAGCGCAAACGTGCCTCAACACACCATGAGCAAAGCAGTGATGAGGAAGAAGTGGAAGAGGAGCATCAGTCATCTGCCGACGAAGATCAGGAGGCTTCAATGTCTGCCAATGACAGGGATGAATCATTCCTTCCAAAGGTAACTCAGAGAGGCCTGCTGCCGGTATCCAGTGACGGCCCCGGTGATGACTTGGCATCTGATAACCTTGCGCCTCAAATCAATGATTCCACCGGCGGATATGCCAAGGCAACACCTCCAGTCAGGTCAAAGGTGACCAGCAATATCAAAGTTCCACTCAACACAGCGCATGAACCGGCAAAATCAGGTCCACACACCACAAGGCAAGGTCTTCATTCCAATGTGGAGAATGAGCCGCCAGCCAAGGCATCAAAATGCCGTGCCACCGCTGAGAATGAGCCACCAACCAAGGCATCAAAACGCTGTACCGCCGCTCCTATCAGTGACATGCCGGCTAGGAGAACCAGGAGCAAGGCAGTGGTTGCTGAAGCTCCAAAGGCCAAACGGAGTAGGAAGTGATCATTGCCGCCTATCATAATGATCATGTATATGAGCTACAATTGAAATACCATCCTATGCCAGCTCCATAATTGCACTAGATGCCTGTCAATATCAGTACCTCTGGCATCTTATACTATCTCTCATTGTGAGCACCGCTGGTATCAAATCCAGAGATGTTGCTGCTGGATTGATGCCATGTGGCATGTTATACCTGCTTGTTTAAAATGGGATTTTAGGTGCTGCCACCGATCATTTCACTGATCCATGTGGGTATGGTAATATAGTACATTTAAATTGAGTCACCGGTGAACCGGTGATATAGTACAGGATACATTTAACAAATTGAGATGGTATCTGTCTACTCATCAGAGTCAGAAATCAATTCCTCTGTTCTCTCCACCTCAGCCAATAGGGCGGTCACCATTGGGGCGACCCGATCCTGGACCTGTGCTATATGATGCAAGCTAATCATGTCTTTGAAGATCCTGGTCAGCCTGTCTCGGTTTTCACAGAATGCCGACATCAGAATCCGGTTGCTGTCCAAGACCTCATCGGGCTTAGGGTCCCAGATGCTCTCGCCGACACCTAAGGACCTGCTGACCATCATCGCCGCCACTTGATCAACTGGTTAAGATGAGTTAAACTCTTTATACAACTATGTGGAGATGTGGCTTACATTCCTCTCCTTGGAGGCGTCTGACAATGTTGATTGCCACTTGCTCGGCATCGCCAACTAAAGATGCCAATGTTGGCCTCACAGGCGGTGCGACAGGTGCCGGCTGCATGGTAGCAGATGGGCCATCGGCATGAATCGGCAATGGTGCTCGGATCAGCACCGGATTCCAATCTCCTATGGGTGAGAGAGGCTCACAGTTGAACTGGAACGCTGCTGGAGGGTCAGAATTGATTAATATATGTGAAGCGAACTTATGTCTGTTGTTGGTGGCATAGCCCACATGCCGGACTGCGGTTTGTACTGCTGCCGCCGGTGTGTGGTTGATGGGGATGGGGAGTTGGAAGCCAAGGTTAAATGGCTGTTGGACTGGGCCGGCAGGTAGTTCTGCTTGGGGTGGGGTGGGGGAAGGGGTGAGTTGAAAGCCCAAATTAAACAGCTTGTTGACTGGGCCGGCAGGTAGTTCTGCTTGGGGTGAGGTGGGGGAAGGGGTGAGCTGAAAGCCCAAATTAAACGGCTTGTTGACTGGGCTGGCAGGTAGTTCTGCTTGGGGCGGGGTGGAGGAAGCGGTGAGCTGAAAGCCCAAATTAAATGGCTGTTGGACTGGGCCGGCAGGTAGTGCTGCTTGGGCTGGGGTGGAGGGAGGTGGGAGCTGAAACCCCAAATTGAATGGCTGGTGAGTGGGGGACAGCGGTGGAGTTTTCGCTTGGATGGGAAGTTGAAATCCCACATTCAATGGCTGCTGCATTGTGGGAGATGCGGATTCCACCTGCCGACATGGGGATGTCCATGCCAAAGTTAAACCTCAGGCGGTGGTGGTGGCTGGTGGCGGTGGCACACCAAAGCCAAAATAGAATGCTGAAGTCTGGTAAGATGAGATGGGCTGACTGCGACAAGACTTACCTGTGTTACCCACGGCGGCATTGGATGTCGGTGATCTAGATTCACCATTGTATTGAGATTCCTCATCGGTATCCATTGGAATATCGAATTGGACTTGGTGTTGCACTGGTGGCGACATGGCGTTCTCAATAAAGTTTAAGGATGAAAAATGAAGTGACAACAGATGGATTCGGCCGTGTTAAATATCTGATTTTGTGGACTGGAAGTTCGCGGAACTTTAAATTTAGCAACCCAAACAAAGCATGTCGGTGCCAGAAGTTGGACACATGATTTCAAAACGGGTTCTGTTCAATTGAGACATTGCTGCATGGAGTTGCCTGCCGTGCCGAGTACCACTCATTTTAAAATTTCATTGCTTCCTACTGGCATATTACCAGTCCTTTCATCGCCCATCGCCCATCTTTCAAGTTTATCCCTCCTCCCATCATGCCCTCTGCTGAGACATCCAACAAGGCTTTCATCGATGCTGCCGCTCAGGTCATTCAAATACTGGCAGGTGTGGTGACATTGCAGGACAGTAACCCTGAACACCTTCGGTTGGCTATGCAGGTGGGGGATATCTTGGTGGGTATTTCCCTATTAGCACCGGGTGATATACTGATTTCTAGTAGTCCCATGTTTTTGAAACCCATGGCATTTCGGCCACTGTGGTCCCCCCGGTCCTGCTCTCAGCAGCCATGGAGATGCTAGAACACCTGGACCGCACTTGGCAATCATTTTGTTAGTGCGCCGATGTGGAAGAACATCACCTGCCGATGATCACCAGGTCCAGCAGCATCCATTGAAAGACAAGGCCCGCACCCTCTTTGTATCCAGGCCGGTGCCATCAACATCCACCGCCGGGGTCACAAAGTCGATGCCAGCACCGGGCCCATCAAGGCCAAAGCCCAAGCCGGCATTGAAGAAGAAGCTGGCGAAGGGTAAAGTAGACAAGGGTAAGGGTAAGGAAGTGGTGCCAGCCGCCAGAAGATGTGGAAGACAGTTCAGGGATGAGGCTGTACTCTGGCCATTGAGAAGAGGAGAAGGGACTCCAGTTCCAGTCGACCACCGGCACTGCCTGGTGACCGTGAATCATCATATGAGAATTCCGCCCCACCGCCGGTGTGTCCAATTATTTGCTCAATAGATGAAGTTCATGTTGATTATCACCCAACAGGCAACAACCTCGAAGAAGCAAAAGGTCGCAAAGGTGCCATTGCCATCACCGGCCATTGGGCTACAGGAAGATTCTGGCGCTGTAAGTGCTGAGTTTTCTGATTCTGGTCGATCTCAACCCGGCACCGTAGACCATGGATGCTCCGGAGTTGGTGCCGCGATGTGACCAATGCATCAAATTGTATGTAGTTCCCAATTGATTACTGGATGTCATCCACTGAGTTTCCATGTTCCAGATCCTTTATTTGTCGTCAGGGATATGGTGCCACCAGTGCTGGACTCAAAGCCTGTGCCCAGTGCTCAAGGCTGAAGCTTAAGTGTTCCCGCTCCAAGATTGAGACCGCCCCGGTGCCGAAGGGTAAGCCTAGCTGGCCACGTTTGAATTCACGCCGCCATCCCCCTACAGAAGGTAATATCATTCTCTGCCTTTGTATGCATGCCGCTGACAATTCCAGATATCCTTATGGAAGGTGATGCTGCAGCGCCCCATGCACCCATATATTCTGTGCTGCCGATTGCGACTTTATTGCCCGATAGTCGCTCCTCAGATCCTGCCAAGTCATCCTCGCCCCCCACACTTGATCCTCCCAGGGAGTCAGTTGTTCCCTCCCTCCAGCATTCAATGGAGGTGGATTCTGAGGGAGATGCCATGGTCAATGACTTGAGGGCAATGACGTTGGTGATGAATGACAACGCCGCGCCGCTTTCAAAGCAGCTGAGCCTCCAGCATGCCGCCGATGGTGCCTGGGCTGAACTTGTCAAACTGCAAGCTCAGCAGACCTGCCACTGCCGACCTATTGAATGTATTGAACAACCGGCTTGCCGCTCAAGATGCCGACATCCATGCACTGCAAGATGTACGCGCCAACATGAATGCATTGAACGACTGGCTCGCCGCTCAAGATGCCGACATCCTGTGCACTGCAAGATGTACGCGCCAACATGGCAGGCAGTTCAAAATCAAATGAAGGTCATGCAACAGGAGTTGGTGACCCGCAATGAGACAGTCTGGCAGGCTCAGGTGCAATTGGACCCAGCAAGAACAAGCCACCGCTGTCCTTCAGGACGCCTACAACGCTCTTCACCATTGTGTACTCGGTCAAAACCAGTCACTATCTCCCCCCTTTCTCAGGCCCAATCTATCATGCCAACCCACAGTACAGTGGCAATCATAGTATGATGCCGGTCAGCATGGGCCAAATGCAAGCGATGGAGGGCTTATACTTCAACTTGCCTGCAGGTGCTTCCACCATGGGAGGCCCATCAGTAGGCAATGTTGCCGGCGGTTCTGGCTGGAATGGAGCTGGCGGTCTCTCTGCCAGTCGATCTCACAATCAGATCACTGGCAGTTCTCGCACAGGTGCACATGCCTTTGGCGAGTCGGCATTGGGCAGGGGCCCCCAGAACTAGACATTTATTTTCATTACATTGTACATTTTTCTTAGTGTATCATTTGATGTTCATCCATGCTATATACCAGCATTAGTTACAATAAAATTCGATGTTGCCAGGTATGCAGATGCATTGCAGATGATGGAGAACGGCACAAAACCCGATCATGAAGAAAACCTCCATTCCCGATATCTGCCGGACCATCAAATCCTCCTTGATCGGCCTGCAGTTGTTTGCAATAAGTTTGGTGTCATCATCCTCTGGTATCTCCCCTGGAGCTATCGATATAGACATACAGGTCAGTTGTCCCCATCGCCGCCAATGATTGTTTTGACAAATCTTAGAATGAGATGGCAGCGGCAGACTGCAAATATGTCGGCCCTGCTGGCTACAAGTGTCACGTGGTGCAGAGACCGGCGGTAAATGGAGGACCCACGAATCCAACTGAGCCCAGTGAGCACAGACTCACCCCTGGGGTGCATTAACCTGTCTCCAGCATGATTTTCGCAAACCCATCCGGCTAAGTTCGGTTCACATCCTGACAGCTTGCCTTGGCAATGCTCATTCATCCCAGACTCCTAAGTTTCATCCCGCAGGTCTCGGCGACTCTTAAACGAGATGGAAGGTCTTTGTCAGGCAATGCAGAGACCGGCGGCGCTCATTGCTGCCGCCTTGAGAGTCATGCACCCTGACCTCTATCGGGCATCATTAGCAACACAGCTGGCCCTTGGCCTCAGGGGCAGCAGAAAAGAAATTGGATGAAATGGGTGCTCGCCTCAGAGAGTGGGCATCCGTATTTACAGCTGTCGCCGTTGTATGCAACCGGCGCTCACCCTTGCACCGGGATCCTTAGTCCCGTCCCCAATGGTTCAATGTCATGACTAGCATCGGCAATTATGGAGCGGCAAGGATGAAGATGCCGAATATAGGGATTGAAATTGTCTATGGTCCAGGCGCCATGGCTGTTGGTTTAGGGAGAATTATCAGGCATGGGGTGGATATGGACACCGGCCGAATAGCCTGGGTGTGGTATATGAGGGATGATGTACATGAGTTTGTAGATATGCCCCGAGCTGACTACTCACGGTACAACTCAATAGTCAGCGGCACCGAAATCAGGACTTGAGAGGTTCTAACATTTAAATGCATATATAACAGATGTCCCTAGCAAACCAATAGTTGCCGATACATACAGATTACTGAAGGTTGCCGGCTTTGACTGCATGTGGGATATGCCCAGAAAGACCACTCTCCTAACTCATTGCCGCCCGCAAATATTTGCCACTGCAACATGCTGTTGGTGACCGGAATGGCAGTCATAAATACTCTTGGCGGTCCCAGTATGGACAGTGATCAATTGGGGGATTTGGCACCCATCGGTGATTGTCCCACCCCGGCAATTTTGCTGTCGGCACCCATCGGCGATTGTCCCATCCCAACAATTCTGCTGTCGGAGATCCAGGAATGACAGCCATCACTGTCAACAGTTGTCCCATCCCAGTGATTTTAGATTTTTCGGCGGTCATTTATATCAATATACTGACTCGGATATGTTCATATAGAAATGGGTATATACCATGTCGGCCATGCCGCAGATATGTTTAGGTGTCAGCGAGTTCATGGGCCCACCCCTCACCCTCGGGTAACATTCAACAGTGATAGCATATACCATAACACTACTATCCATTATATTATTGGGTTCCACAAAGTGTATAGTGCAGGCCCACCCCTGAGCCACAGGTATTAACTACCACCAGGCCCACCCGGTATATGCAGTGATAATCTCACATGTGGGCCCATCCCTTAAGTAAGGGGTACATAGTAATGTGGGCCCATGGTGGGTTGGCCCGACTCTTATGGAGAAATGTCAACATTATTGCATAGTATGAGGTGCTATATTGCTCGCTTTCCCATTCCCTGACTTTCTGCTTTGTCGAGGGTCTCATTGGTAAGATAATGAAATGCAGTCTGTTGTATTTATTGTGTCATGGGAATCGACAACGCCAACGAGATCCAAGTGGTGTCTGGGATGGGGAACTTCAGTGGAAGGGACGTGGGTGATGAAGACTCCTTTGGAGAAACTTTTGAGCTGTCAGTCCAGTACTCAGGGGCGCTTCAGTTTTAGCTTGTGATGTTGTGCCCATAGCAAAGGCCGATATGGACTCCTCACGAATCTGGCTTTTTGAGGATCAGGGAGGTAATACTATTGTAAACATGGATGTACGCTGATAATGCATTATAAAATACAGTGCGCTTCTACAAGGCTCGGATAACACGAACTATACTGTCTTGAAATAACAGGGAAAGGTTTGACAATGTCCCTGAATAGAGAGCATGCATGACAACGTTCATGAGCACGCAGATAATAGCAAATTGAACGAGCTGCATGGTTGGTGAAGTTCCTGCAGAGGGTGAAGGAGGTGTCGCATCGTCCTCCGACCAAGCCTGAAGTAATTAGATATCACCATAATCGATATGCAGCTGGCGTACCGATTCGCCCTCCTCCCAGACCTTCATGCTACTATGCCCATTGAAGCAACTGCCAGTAACAATGGTGCACCCAGTGCGCCCTTCATGCAACTAACTCTGTTTAGCATGGTACACATATCAAGTTCAAATGACTTACTGTGACGGGGATAATGTGATTGCCTCGATTGCCATGTTCCAACTGTCCTCGATATGCCCCTGAACTATAATCAAATATCTGAGCAAACCCATCATCGCCCCCAATGAAAATGAGCCCTGCCTGACAAGCAACGGAGATTTGCAAAGGAACATTGTGCAGAATGACATGACTGTAAGATTGTACGCGCTGGAGTGTAGGAATGGCGTATTTATCCACCCCATCCTTGAGATTACTGACAAATAGAAAATCGCCCTTGAGGGCGGTATTACCGCTACAGTGTACGCGTCAATAACCATGCACACGGAACGACACCCCAACTTACATTCTACCTTGAACCTTCTTGCGCCACTTTAAATCCCAAGGCTTGATAGAATAGCAGAATCTGCAGAAAGGGTTCAGAAAGGGTTAAGAAAACAATGGTAAACCAACATTTCACCGCTTTCGAGAAATGATACCAGGAGGGAAGCACCATTGTTGTAAAAGTGTACGGTGTGCGCAATGTAAGGCTGCTTTTCGGGCTGCAAGATGATGGACATGAGGGTTTCTGACAAAACAATCAATATCATGGATGATGGTATGCTGATGGGCAGGCAACTCACTATCTGCCGTCAAGTTCCAAACGCACGGCAGACCGTCACTGGCACTCGCCAGTCAATGATGGACAGGATCCCAAGCAAGTGACTCCACTGCACCTGAGTGGCTGATGGTAGTGCTCCAGAATTCAAACAACGCCTTACTGTCATATACCGGATCCGAGCATCTCCAATACCACCCATGAACATCCCCACCCCTGGTCCGACCCCCTGTTTCCCCGTCCGCTTCATTCCTCCTTCCCCGACAATGCACGAAGTGCATCTCAGCAGGATTAGCCCTGCTACCTCCGCCTGACTCCATTCCGCTTTTCCGACATTACCCCTATGTCCTCCGACCCCATACCCCTTCCATCCGACCCTATCTGGGGTTCCGCTCCTCCACCCTATCAGTCCGCCTGACCCTACTCCTACTCCCTCCGCTTTTCTGACCCATTCAGTTCCTTCGGTTCCACTTGTGTTGTCCCACCTGACTATTAATCTGTCCGACCGCCTCACTGGTCCACCCCTAGACTAGGAACCACTCAACTGGTCCTATCCCAGTTTAGTATCATAATTCCGCTTTTCGGGTACCCGGTAATCCCTATACCCTAGCGATTATTGATCTGTCGTGTACATACTTTTCTCCAAGCCTTATTCTTGTATGCCTCAGTCATCCTCTTGTGATCCTGTACACTCAGCACATAGCCTCCTGCTATGCTATGCTAATCACTTAGAGTATATAAACATATGTACATCTGCCTGTAGATACTCAGTCTGAATATTACCTTTTCTAAGCCCTGCTCTTCTGCTTTTTGACTTAAGGCTTAAACCCAAGTCAACTCCTGTTTTCTGGCCTAGGGGATTGACTCCCTAGGTTGGCCACCCTCCGATCCTCTGTTCCCCCATTCCCCCGTCCCCCTGTTTCCTCCAATCCTCCATTCCCCCGTCCCCCTGTTTCCCCCATTCCCCCATTCCCCTGTTCCTCCATCCCTCCGCTCCTCCGACTCCCCGTACATCGGAACTAGACCCCGCAGTCTCACATCCGTCCCCTCCATTTCGCTCTGCTTCGGACTTCATCCAAGCAAGTTCCTTCCGCTCCACTTCTACTGTTGGTTCCGACCACAGTAGTCTCCCGCCTCCCTCCTGTCAGGCGGAACAACCCCCGCCTGACTTTCCCGTGCTCACCTAGTAGTCTGTCAGTCCTCCTTCAGAGGACCCCCATTCCAATGTCCTGTTGGAACTCCTAGAACTCGTGTCGGACTACACTCCGAAATTAGGGGCACGTACTCGGGTAAGGGGCACAGCGCACAAGCTGAAGCCAAGCCCCTCAGACTCCGCTTTACCCTTGAGCACGGTCTTAACACTTACGCGAACACTGTCAGCAGGACCCAAGATGCTACCCCTATCGCACTTACATCATTGGATCTTTCATATACTTGGATGTTGCCATCTGAAGCTCCAAACGCAAAGGTGGATTCCCCATGGTCGTCAATATCCATCCAAATAATAGCGCTGATATAACCTGCTGCTGGTGCAAATATTTCTTGAATCATTTCACCAGATACAAGGCTCCATACGACTATTCAGCTATCATTGCCTATCACCGCAGTCAGCACAAGTCAAGTGAAGGATATAGCTGATTACCTCCAGTAAGGAGAAATGCTCCGTGCATACTCATAGCCAATGTATTGACTGCCTGTGTGTGGCGAGTGAGAGTAAATTTGCTAGAAAACTAATGTGGCGTCAGTGAACATGGCACTCAACTCAAGTTGAAACTTACATTCATGATCAACTTTAAGACAGTAGGAGAATAAGTTGCCCGTATTTAACCACGCACCTAGTTCCGACAGCCAAATAGATCATGTAGTGGAATAACAAGGCCCCTATGACATGACAATCGGTCAATTGTTCAATCATTACCATGGAGACTGAGTTAGTACGTCAATGTTTTTAATTGGGTTTGATGAAAGATTGCTTATATAGATGGCGAGATCACTTGGTTTACAATTACAATGATAGAATGCAATCACTAATTGTCCTGACTACGAAATCGATACAATACAAGACTGCATGTCCTACTTTTTGTATCAAGTTTAGAACAATAGTAATTTGATCGCACCACTCGTGGCAATGCCATCTCAGAAAAAACTCAGTGTTAT